GACTGCCGTGAGTTTGAGGCCAGCCTAGTCTACACAATGAACTCAGGGCCAGCCTGAATTACATAGCAAGACCCTGTTTCAAAAAAACACAAAACAAAACAAAAAAAACAACACAAAAAAAGACAAAAAACCCAGAAAAAAATATTTAGCACCCATAGATGGAATGAAATTCAAATGGGACTGATCATGGGGAGCAGAGAGCAAGCCACTAGGGCCAGGGAGATGAGGAGGAGCCAGTGCATTGTAGCCACCAGGACCTTGCAGCATCTTGCACACCAGGCAAAGAAAGTGTTCTGGGAGGGCACACGATTGACTATGTGAAAGGGTGCTGCTGACCAAGTAAAATCACCCTGACAGTGGACCTCTGGAATGAGAAACATGGAGGGTACAGGTCATCTTGGGAAGAGGAATTTCAAGAAAGCCTGGGCAGACCCCCATCAAGAGAAGGCTAAGGAGACTGGGATTGCAGCCACATCTCTGAATACCAGGAGGATGAGGACATTCTCCATTGGTCAATGACAGGATCTCAAGAGTAGCAGGGTGCAGTGGCACATGGTTATAATCCCACCACTGGGAGAGGCTAAGGCAGGAAGGTTGCATCAAGCTGGGCAGCTTGATGACCTAGCAAGACCCTCCCTGATTTAAAATAAAACAGAGCTGAAGATGTAGCGCAGTGCAACCTGGGTTTAATCTCCAGTACTCCTCCCTCTGCCCAGAAAAAAATTACAGTGCAGGGCTGGGGGTGTAGTTCAGAGATACAGCACTTGCCTAGCAAGGCCCTGAGTTTAATCCCCAGCAGGGGAGGGGAAGGCTGAGACAGAAAGAAGTAGAGACGGAGAAGAGGAAGAATTTGTACTGCTCTCTGCTTGTATATACTTAAAGAACCGGAAAGAACACATAGAACTGAGTCACACTGGGGTCAGGGATGGAAACTGAAGGATAGTGGGTGGGGTGAGAAGGAAAACTTGGACTCCACACTGTTCTATACAGATTTAGAGTGCTGACTTTAACATATAAATGCATTATCGAATCTAAACTGTGGGTTGAAAAATGCAATCATCCAGATTTGAGTGGTAGGACAAAGAATGCTGGGGAGAAGAGGCGGGGAGACCACGACCAGAGGATTTTCTTGAGAAAGCCTTGTGCAGGGAGCAGTAGAGAAGGTCACGCTGGAGGTGAATGCGCAGCTAAAGCGGATCTCCTGTAACTCAAAGACTGTGTGGGTGTGTGACCTGCTGATGGTAACTGAGCAGAACTGCTGCAGGACAGGAACAGACAGTTGATGGCGTGGTGATTCTGGGAGTGATAAGGTCTGGGATCCCCACCAGGGGTACACAGGGGCTAGGAAGAGGTGGTGGAAGTGAAGTATTTCCTCTGCTTGCTTCTACTTTCTCAGTAAAGGAGCAAGCAAAATCATCAGTTTAATAAAAGATAGTTTAGAAGGACATTGAACATTTGAGGCCAGAATTACAGACAGAAAAAAATCACTCTGACTAATACTGGGGAGGGTGACAAAGATACCACAGAGTCAGACACAGCCAGAAACAGGGCCACAAGCACTGTCGGCCAGGCTGTCACTCCACTTCACTGCTACATGATAAGGCCGAAACGCCAATTGTGACTTCGTTCTCACTCTCCCCCACATCCTCGGCTGTGGCCCAGTACCCAGCACGTAGTAAATGTTCAAAAAAATGTTTATCAGAAGAAAGAATTGGTCAGGAACACCAGAAATGATTGCTAATGACCCAAAGCCCTTGATGAAGGCACACAGCAGTGTTCACTTAATAAATGTGGTCCACACCTGGCAAGTCCTCGGGATGGACACCACCTGTGGCTTTGTGGCCCTGTCCTCCAGCAAGGTGCACTCTCTCCTATGCCACTGGGAGACCCTGGGAGGACAACTCACTGACTCACTACTGTGTGCCCTCTATGAAGGCTGTCGGAACAGCAAGGCGGAGGGCAGCTGCTACAGATGCTGGTCGGAGCAGGCTTCCTTCCGGGAGAGGGTGGAAGTACCAGGCTAATGACAGCAATAATTCGGTGGAGAGAGGGGAGCACCTGTAGGGGTGTGGGTGTGAGCTGTGGGCCCAGTGCAGGGGTCAGGGTTGGGTAGACAGAAGAAAGCCGGGGAGGACACAGAACAGGACAAAGGGCTCAGAGGAGGCAGGTGTCCAGGAAGAAGTTTACTAAGCAATGGACACCTAGCAGCTCCCATGAGCCAAGGCACTGCAGGAGGGTAGGATCCAGAGTGAGCAAGTTAAATGACAGCTTTGTTCTCCCATGTATGGGGCAGACAATGAACAGCAGACAGATTGTTTCAGAAAGTGATGAGTCCAAAAGACAAAAAAACTTGGTGATGAAAAGCAGATGGAGGCCGGGTGTAGTGGTGCATGCCTATCCTATAATCCCAGCACTTAGGAAGCTAAGGCAGGAGGATCGCTGCAAGTTCAAGGCCAGTCTGAACTACCTTGGGAAACCCTTTCTTAAAAACAGAAAAAAGATGAAGGAAGAGAAGAAGAAGAGGTGAAGGAGGAGGAGGTGGTGGTGGTAAGGGCACTTTAGATTCTGAGTAGAGATATGAATGATCGGCAGGTAGTATGGGAGGGAAGGGCGAAAAACCATTCTAGGAAGAGGGAATCAAATTGTAGAAATGCTAAGAAAGGGGTTTCTGACGTTCTACAACAGCAACAAGTCTGATTTGGCAGGAGTGCTGTGTACCAAGAGGAGTATAAACTGGTCAGCTTCTGGTTAGGTAAATGGTGACAAGCTGGTAAACACACAGCCAGTCTGAGTTTGGGGCTTCCAGGTGGGACCTTCTGGAGTGACTCCAAAGGACAGTCAAGTCCAGGGTTGAGTGGAATAGTTTATGGGGAGGGTTGGAGGGGTTAGTGGGATGGGCTTAGGTGGGATGATGCAATGGGAATGAGATTGGGGAGTGAGAATGGCTGAGGATGGGGCTATGGTGATGGGTACTGTGAACTAGTGGGTGGGGTGCATATGCCTGTAGCAGAGCAGGCTTTGTTCTCAGGTTCAGGTGGCTACAGGATGTTGGAACCTACTGATTGTTCTTGGAGCTCAGGCAGCTGGGAAAGGAGGGACAGAGGAGTCAGAGCTATCATTTCTTACAAGGACTTCAGATTTATTCCTGGTATGATAAAAAGACACTTGAAGCCAGCCTCAGGTATGCACAGCTGTAAGGCAATGTCGGGAAATTGAGGAGGAGAATCATCAGGACAAGTTTGAGGCCAGCCTGGACAACACAGCAAGACACTGTCTAAAAATAAAAAAACAAGAAGGGCTGTAGGTGTAGCTCAGTGGTAGAGCAACTCTGGGTTTGATATTCCCTCCCCCCCATATACTTCAAAAAGGGAAAAAGAAAACCATGTTAGGCATGTTGGTAAATATGTAACATGTTACGGATACTTCGAAGACTAGTTTGGCAAGGACAAAAGTGAGGGGCCAGTCTGGAAGCTGAGGACTTGGATCTGGACTGTAGCAAGAGATAAAGGGAAGGGGATGGAGTTGGGTTGGATATTCGATGGGTGCAGAACCCACAGGAGTTGCCTCAACACAGGAAGAGAACCAGTGAAAGGAAACTATTCTCCAATTTTAGCCTGAGCACGGAGCTGTCAGGTCCCAGGAAGGGGATGTGGGAGAGTAAAGGGCTGGGCGTGGCAGGGTTCAAGACATCCTTGGTAGTCACATTGTCTATGTATGGCCATTAGACACCCAAGTGGAGATGTCAAGGAGGCTGTGGGATAAATGAGTCTGGCACTGTGGATACAAATTTAGGACTCACTGACATTTACAGAGTATTTAAGCCCGGGACCGAATGAGATCACTGGACAGAGAATGTGGAAAAAGAAGGCCAAGGACTAAGCCCTAGGATGCACCAACATTTAGAAGTCAGAGCTGAGTAAGTCTAGGGAAGACAGCGAGGTTGGAAAGAAACTAGGCGTTTGATGTCCTAAAGTGCAATGATGAAAAACGGTAAGGTGAGACAGGATAGGGTGGGTGTAGGAGCAGAGGATTTTATTTTTGAAAGAGATTGAGAAAGCCTTTCCAGAAGAAAGGGGAGACTGGAGCAAAAGGGGTGAAAGTCAGGGAAAATCATTACAGAAAGAAGTGACAACAAGCACAAAAGGACTTGGGGCAGGTCCTGCTATTTTCCTATAAACACAGATCATATCTACTGTGCCTCAAGCATTGAAACCTTTAGGAAAGAAAAGCAGAGACATACGTGGGGACTATGTCTTACAGGGCCCTGTAAATATAATAAGGAGTTGGAATATTGCGAGTACTAGGAAAGCTGCTTGCAGCTGCCAGTCTCTAGGAGGCTGATTTACTTATTTTAAAGATCATCTGGGTTGCTTCAGGGAGAATAGATTATAGCAGGGCCAGAGTAAAATAGAGGATCAAGATGTTGGGGTATTCCAGTGGTGGTGCGGGGTCTTCTTCCCACCTCTCCCTCCATCTCTCATCAAAGAGGGCAAAACAGAGCCGGGAAATCAACCAATATTGGTTGATGTAAGCCTGGGTTGGAGTGGTAGTGCATGCCCCCGTAATCTCAGCCTTTGGCAGGCTGAAGCGGGAGGATCGCGGTCAGTTCAAGACCTGCCTAAACTACACAGCGAGACCCTGCCTCAAAAAACCCTAACAGTACCGGGTGAGTCACAAACTCAGAACTACTTGGGGCGACCATAGGCATACGTCCAGTTGGGGTAAAGGAGGTGAGAACCTGAGAGACTGGCGGTCATCTCCTTTCCCCGCTGCCGCTTCCAGCCCTGCACCTGAAGGCTGGGCTCAACTCCTGCAGCACGGCGGCAGGAGTTCACTGTGTGTGACCTGCAAACGTGAGTGGGAGAGGCGAAGACCCAGGACCCAGCCACCGCGCCGATCCCACCCGAATCGAGCCGAGCCGAATCGAGCCCAGCCGAGCCGAGTCGAGCCGAGCCGAGCCGAGTGGAGCCGAGTCGAGCATCTCCCGCCGCCACTGCCACCGCCACCGCCGCCGCCGCCGCCGCCGCCGCCGCCGCCGCCGCCACCGCCGCCCCGCGCCCCGCGCCCCGTGTCCCGGGCGCCTGCCCCCTCCGGCTTGTGCGTTTGCTGCCGGACGAACCTCCCGACCATGCCCCGCGCCCCGCCTGCCTTTGCGACCCCCGAACCCTGCGCCACCCCGCACGCCCGCAGTCCTCGCGCCGCCACGCCGGACACGCAGGTGAGTGGGGCCCCGCGCGCCCGCTCTGCCTCCCCGTGTGCGTCCTGCGCCCCCGCCAGGGCCGGCCCCACCTGGAGCGCCTCCCCGCCGTGCCCGCCGCGCCGACCCGGGCCGCCCTCCCCATGCGGCAGACGCGTCCCCGCCGCCGCCTGCATCCCGGCGCCTCTGGCTCAGCCCGGCGCGGCCCCCTCGCCTTCCCTCCGAGCCCCGGGCTCCCACCTGCGCGTCGTCCCCACTCCCGCTGCTCTCGAGCCCCTTCCGGGATGGGCGGGATGGGGGCCGCTCCCGAGGTCGGCACAGACCCGGGGTCCAGCTCCTCACCCCACCCCCCGCCGACTCCTGCGCACAACAGGTCGGTGCGGAGCGCGCGGGCGGGTGGGGGCGGCGTGCCGACCCAGGGACTGCGGGCTTCCCGGAGGGGGTGACTGGAGGGCACGGCCGTGGGGTGGAATGCGCCAGGCGAGGGGCCGGCCAGCGAGGTCCTCGGGAGTCCTTCCCCGCTCCGCTAGTTCCCGCTCCCAGCCCTCCCTCCCGCCGCCCCACCTCCCCGCCGTGCCCCGTCAGTCCCCATCCCCATCTCCTTTCTCTGCGCCCCTGGCGCTGCCTTCAGAGCGCTTTAAATCTGAAGACACAATTCCCAGCCCCTCCATCTTTGGTCTCCTAGTCCTGTCCCCCGGTTTGTCGTAAGCATTGTGCTCTGTCCTCTCTCCTGTCTCTGCTGTCCTCTCTCCCTTTCCTTTCCATCCTCTGCACTTCCGACTGCCCTGCCGCCTTCCTCCTCTTCCCCTCTCCTATTGCCCTTTCCCCCTGCACCGTATCCCCACCTCCCGCCCTTACCATTCCACCTTCAGCCCGTGGTCTCCCTCCTAGGGCTGCCTGCTGCCCATCACCCTGCATCTGGGCTTTTTTGGGACAGGGTCTTGCTATGTAGCCCAGGCTGCCCTTAATTCGTAGCAATCTTCCTGCCTCAGCCTCCTAGATTGCTGCTGGAATTACAGGCTTGCGCTGCCACCCCTGGCTTTCTCCTCACTCCTGACCATTCCCTTCTTCAGACTTTACTGTTCCCTGGGAGTGCTGGGTGTAGATTTGGACAGTGTGTGGGCTTCTCATTCTCACTGGGGAGCCTGCTCCCGGGATCCACCACCCTCACCTCTCAGCACACACCCCTCTGCTTTGGAAACCAGCCAGCCACATTCTCCCAAGAGAGGGACACTTGAGGGGGCGGCTTCTTCCCGACGCCACCTCCTGTCAGAGGGCACCTATGCATTAGGATGATTAAACATTAAGAGCAAAAATTACATCTGTGGTTTTTCTCCCGCCCACCTCCTTCTCTCCTCCCATCCCTGCATCTCTTTCTCCCTTGATGCTGAGGCTCCTGGGGCCATCCTAAGGGTAGTGCCTGGGCCGCAGGCGGGTGGGAGGCCCAGAGGCCCCCTGTGCAGACCGATCAGACCGACTTCCCTCCCTCCCCCACCCTCGAATTCCCTCCCTAGCGGTAGGTGCTCAAGGAATCACAAGGTTCTTGACTCTAAATTAAGATCCAAGAAAAGCCTGGAACTGTGGGCAGAGGAAGTGAGAAGGAAGGAAGCCAGAGAAGCAGGAGTAGACGCTGGGGTAGGGAGGCAACAGGGGCTCAGGAAGTTGTAGACGGGCTGGGGGTGCTCAGGGAACCACGCTGGGCGCTTTCTCCTTAAAAAGATGCTCTGAAGCAGTGGTTCCTAGGTGACAGCGACATGGCTGGCAGTGCCTTGCAGCCCGGGAGGGGAGGTGGCCGGGAGGGGAGGTGGCCATAGAGATGTCAGGGATGGAGCCGGGTACACAAGGCGGGGTTGATGTGTGACGACCCTTCTCTCCCCACAGTAAAGTCTGAAAATCTGGGTCACAGCTAAGAAGACCTCAGACCCGGAGTCCAGGATGTGGTAAGTTTGGCCCAGCAGGGGGAGCTTGGAGACCACTTTCCTGGGAGCTTGGTCCTTGCCCACCTAGGCTCAGCCTAGGCACTCCGTCCTGAGCCCTGAGCGTGCCAGGACGGGAAGTGGTGCCGGGGTCTTTCTCAGGGCCACTGCCCGCCCCTCGGAGGCCAGCGTCGGGCTGGATCTCACCCGCTTTCTCGCCCTCCTTTCAGGCCTGCTCTGCTGCTGTCCCACCTCTTCCCTCTGTGGCCGCTGCTGCTGCTGCCCCTCCCACCGCCTGCTCAGGGCTCCTCCTCCCCTCGGACCCCTCCGGCCCCGGCCCGCCCCCCTTGCTCCCGGGGCGGCCCCTCTGCCCCACGCCACGTGTGTGTGTGGGAGCGGGCACCTCCACCAAGCCGGTCCCCTCGCGTTCCAAGATCGCGGAGGCAAATTCTGCCTGGTACTGCGCCCCCTGCCACCCCATCGGGCTTCGAGGAGGGACCACCCTCATCCCAGTACCCCTGGGCTATTGTGTGGGGGCCCACTGTGTCTCGAGAGGATGGAGGGGACCCCAATTCTGTCAATCCTGGATTTCTGCCCCTGGACTATGGTTTTGCAGCCCCCCATGGGCTAGCTACTCCACACCCCAACTCAGACTCCATGAGGGATGATGGAAATGGGCTCATCCTTGGAGAGACGCCAGCCACCCTGAGGCCATTCTTGTTCGGAGGCCGTGGAGAAGGTGAGGCTGAGGCTGGGGAAAGACTCTGAGGGGTAGAAGTAAGGGCCTTGGCTGGGAGCTTCCTCAGCGAAGTGCCAGGCTCTGTGCTGGCCAGGATGCAAAGATGAAGAAGCCGTCTGGGCCCTGGAGGAGTTCAGGTCCACCAGAGGAGAGACAGACAGGATGAGTCAATACCATAAAGCTCTAATAGAGGCACATGCTGCCTGTTTTTAGGAGAAGAGAGAAGTGAGAGACGACTGTTGCCTGGGGATCAGGACTGCTCAGGGACTGACATTTGTGGTAGACCCTGAAAAGAGAGAGTATTCCAGGCAAACAAGCACAGGGAGGAACTGCCAGGGTGACCTCTTGACTCTGGGAGTGCCTGTGGGTGGGGCTGGGCCCAGGGCAGAAACTGGACAGCACAACTGGCAACCCCCAGCTTCTACGCACAAAGCTAGGTTCTTTCTTTCTTTCTTTTTTTTTTTTTTTTTGTCTTTTTCCTTTTTATCGGTACCGGGGATAGATCTCACGACCACCTGCTTGCAAGGCAGGTGCTTATGCCGCTGAGCTAAACCCCCAGCCCCACTAGGGGCTTTCTAATCTCTGATCTGAGCCTTGTTGTCATCACTTGGATACACGGAGATGCTCATCATGGTGATATGTGCCTGGAAGGCTGAGGCAGGAAGATCCCAAATGTAAGCCCAGCCTGGGCAAATTTAAGAAATTTGAGACCCTGTCTCAAAATTTTAGAAAATGGCTGAGGATGCAGCTCATTGTTAAGGCCCTGGGTTCACTCTGCAGTACCACAAAAACAACTACCTTTTAGGGCAGTGGAAGGAAAGCGCTGAACACTCAGGGGAAACACTGTTGGTAAGAATGGAGGCACTGGAGAAGCAGAGCGTGTTGTGGCTGCACAGAGCCAGTCCTCCTTGGCCTAACCTCACCCCACCTCCCTGTAACTTCTCCCCCACCCCAACCAGGTGTGGACCCCCAGCTCTACGTCACAATCACCATCTCTGTCATCATTGTTCTTGTGGCCACTGGCATCATCTTCAAGTTCTGGTAAGCTGTGGGTAGCGGGTGCTCCGAGGGGCCTGAATGTTTGCAAACTGAAGCAGGGAGGGACCAAGGGCAGCAGTTTTGCTGGCAGTAGGTAGGAAACAGTGGATGAAGGCAGGACCTTTGGAAAAGAGTGATTCCAGTGGGGGATGACAGTAAGACACCAGCTCAGATTCCTTCTTCCAGGGAAATCCAAAGCTAATGGGAGGGACGAAATTATTTTTGTATGCTGGGTCTTTGCTCAGCATCCCTCTGTGACAGGAAATAACCCAGGCTGCAGAACTTCTTAGGCTAGCTGGCAAAAAAGAAAATCTGGAGCATTCTTTGCACATGTTTAATTTTGGGACACTCAGTCCTTCACACTTTGTGGACAGGATCATTAGACCCAGGTGTCCAGGTCATTAGCTGACTCTGAAATAGAACGAAATCTCCCAGGGCTCTGCAGAGGAGAGCAGTGATTCTTCTGGGCATGGCATGGAGCGGGGAGCAGTTTTAGAGAGTTCTATGTTGGTGGGGTGGGCACTGATTCTGGGGCTCCTGATCAGGCCAGGAGCATGGATTAGACCTCCAAGCCCCATAAAGAGTGATGAGGTGGTTTTATGGGGTGTGCAAGGTTATGTCCCAGCAGACATAGTACAGGGAATTGCCAGAGGCCAGGGTCTCTTCAGTAGGGCTTTGGTGGTGGTGCAAGAGGATGTCTTTTCTACTGTGCCAGCTGGGACCGCAGCCAGAAACGTCGCAGGCCCTCAGGGCAGCAAGGGGCCTTGAGGCAGGAGGAGAGCCAGCAGCCACTGACAGACCTGTCCCCTGCTGGAGTCACTGTGCTAGGGGCCTTCGGGGACTCGCCTACCCCCACCCCTGACCATGAGGAGCCCCGAGGGGGAGCCCGGCCTGGGATGCCCCAATCCAAGGGGGCTCCAGCCTTCCAGTTGAACCGGTGAGGGTAGGGGCAATGGGAAGGGAGGGGGAGGAGGGAGGCTCCCAGGTCTCCAGAGCTGGGGTGGGGTGTTCCCTGGGTGGGTAGCATGGCCCCCACAGCCCTTGGCTTCCCTCCTGGCCTGACCCAGACCCTTCGAGATGGCCAGGCCAGCTCCTCTACAGCAGCCCTTGCCTTTCCTAATGTCTCAGGCTCTGTGCTATCCTCATGCTGCCCTTTAATTCCAACTCTGCCCTCTGAGGCTCCAGTCCCTTCTCTGCTGCGGACTTCCCCTTCCATGTGGCCTACGCCTTGGGTCCTGACTGTGCCCTTTCCCTCTTCCTCTCAGGATTCCCCTGGTGAATCTGTGATGCCCCCCATGTTGGGGTGCTGCCAAGCAGGAGGCCAAGGGGCCAGCATAGGCGCCATCCCACTGAGGGTGGGGCAGCTGTGGGGAGTTGGGGCCTTGGGGGCTCCGACTCCCACCCCTGTATACCACCCGGAACACTCACTGGCCACATGGGCAAGCCCCCCTGCTTGCCCTCTTGTAGTAGGGGGCTTCACGTACTTGTGACTGTGGGTCCCCACCCCTTGCACACTCACGTGAAAGCCTTGCACACTCAGCTCCACCTCACAGACCATTGCCCATGCTCATGCTCTAGGCAGCCACTCTTCTGCACCTCTTCCCTGGCACCTCTCCTGCTCACTGATGGCTTACACTGTCATTTCCCATTCTCTCTCTGTCTTGCACACACACCATGCTCTGATGGGTCACTTAATGTCGGGGTACCTGGTCCATGTGCCCCTCACTGTTCATGTGCATTTCTGGCAGGAAGTCGTGGTGTGGCGTGGTGCGGCACGGCGCACTCGCTCTGCCTCGCAGACAATCACTGGTCTAGTTTCTGTGGCCCCTGCATGCGCCCTTGAGGTGGCTGGGAGGGGAGCTGGGGGCTGCACCTACCCTCATCTGCCATGCCCCGCCCACACCCATGTCATCAGGTCACTGTCCCCACATCCCATCCCACTCCAAGCGTGCTAGTGTCACCCCATGGTGATGGGGGTAGTGAGGGCCACTGCTAAGTTCTGTTGTCTGAGGTGGGTGTTGGGAGTCACCTACTGCACTACATGAAAAAGGGACTCCCATTCATCCTACGCTCCCACCAAGTCCCTCTTGTCTTGTCTGTCTTGACTGTCTGTGTCTGTGTCCCTGTCTGGACGTGAGAGCCCCTGACCCCTGAGCAGGTCCTCCAGTCCCCAGCCTCCCTTGGCCTCCCTCCCTCCACAGGGACTGGAGCAGCTGGTTCAAGGCCATCGGGAGCTCTGCCTCCAAGGCCAGCCCTCCTTTCCGGCTCCTTCCTGCCCTGCCTCTCCTTCCACCCCTCTGCCTCCCACCCTACTTCTCACCAGTGTCTCTACTTTCCTCCTTTCCCTCTTACCTGGCTCCTATGCTGTGATATATATTTTTGTATTATCTCTTTCTTCTTCTTGTGGTGATAATCTTGAATTCTTGTGGGATGTAAGTTTCAAAATTTTCAAATAAAGCCTTTGCAAGATACTTGAGTCCCCTGTTCTGCCTTGTGAACCGTGTGGAGAGGAAAAGAGAAGGGGTGGGCAGGCAGGAGCTGGAGAAGGGTGGGGAGCTCCTGTAGACCCTTTCTGCCCTGCCCTGCCCTGCTCTGGAGCTGGGGACCAGTCTGGGTTTTATTTTTAATTTTTTTTTTAGGTACCTGGAATTGAACTCATGAGCTTGTGCTTATTAGGCAGGCGCATATGCCACTGACCTAAATCCTCAACCCCCAGTCAGAGTTTTAACTGAGGACAGTGAAAAAGGGAAGAGGGGAGAAGGAAAGAGGAATCGGAGGGAACAGCCCTGGTGAGCAGCCCTGTAAGATGGAAACTGGAATCAGAAGTTGGCTGGCTGGGTCCTCACAAGTGAAGTTCAAGATAGACCAAGAGAAAGGAGATGGATGAAAGGGGATAATTACAGAGGAAGACGGGCAATGGAGCCAGCCAGAAGAGGATGAAGGGTAAAACGAGAAGAATGGAACAAAGGCAAAGGGACGAGAGAGAGCCAGGGGAAGGAGCCTGCCCCGCTTGGTTTATTTTCAGCTTTGCTTTCTAACCTGCTGCCCAAGCTGCCCCTCCTCCATGTGGCATTAGAAGCCCTGTCATTATTAGCTCATTAGCCCCTTCTGAGGCAGAGGCTCTCCCAGGGTGTAGGATTGGAATCAGGTGTCTGGGGGAGGAAATGCAGGCTGCCCAGCTGGGTCAGTCACCTCTGAGGCCCCATTTTAGGTTACACTCTTAGAACAGCTCTAGAAAAGCCCACACATCAGTGTCTCAGCTGTTGCTAGACTCCGTTGCCATGGTTACCACCCCTCACCGATGCCCCACCTGCTCCCTGGAAACAGGGTAGCCCCAGGGAGTATAGGAAAGAGTGTGCTATGCAGGAGGGCAGTATGTGCAGCCAGAGACCACACCAACCCTTGAATGAGGACTGGGCCTATGTTTGTGCTTTAGGTACAGATATGGGGTCTCACTGTGTGCTGCAGGTGTGCTTGTGTAATGGTGCATGTGGGGAAGAAAGTAGTGTATTTTTCATGACTGGATCAGTGTGTGTGTTTGGGGCATCAGACTTCCTTAGAGAAGGACAGATTGCCACAGAGGAAAAAAACAAGCAGGGTTAAGGGGTGATGAACCAACTAAAAGCAGAGGTGCCAGGCAAACCAGCCTTCTGAGGAGGGCTGCATCAATTTCATGGGGGCCTGGAGATCCAAGCAGGCAGCTGCAGGAGAGAGAACAGGTGCGATGGGAGGGTAGGGGATGGGAGGGCAGGACAGGCAGCCTCTTAACCTTTCCTGCTTTCCCACAGCAATCCAGTTAGTCCCTCTTGGGGGGCAGCTGTGGGAGGAGAGAGGAGCACTGGCACAAAATGGGGAGCAGCTCAAGTGCTGGAGAGCTCGCTGAGCACTCACCTTCAGCACTGTCTCTTCGGAGGGACAGCCTGACCCTGCAGCTCATCCATATGCAGAAGGCACACATGAAGGCCCCTAATGAAGAGGGAATTAATTACTGCCTGATTAGCCACTGTGTTTCTAAATTTAAATAAATTAAAATACACCAAGACCCTGGAAATCCTTACCTGTTCCCTTGCCTAAGTAACCGTAAATCCGATGGAAAATCAGATGGCTAGAAAGGCAAGGGAGAGGGGCTGGGCATTTAGTTCAGCAGCATAAGTGCCTGCCTTGCAAGGGCGCAGTCGTGAATTCCACCCCTGGTACCGATAAAAAAGAAAAAAGCCGAGGGAGAAAGGACAGTCTCCTAGACTTCTGAGTTGTCCTAGAGCAGTGATGGTGAATCTTTTAGAGCTCTCAATGATACACTCACTGCAGCACGGGTGTCATAGTCATAGGTTCGCTAGCCATTGTCCTAGAGTAAGTCACACTGTCATGCTAGTGATGACAAGTTATGATGCCTCGAGGAACAGAACCTAACTTTTTTTGGCATTTTAAAAATTGTATTGATGCATTTTACTCTTTTTATTTAACTTAAATTTTTTTTTTTTTTTTTTTTTTTGTGCTGGGGATTTAGCTCAGTGGTATAAGTGCCTACCTTGCAAGTATTTGATCATGAGTTTGATCCCTGCTATCAAAAAAATTTTGTTTCATTTTGAGACAGGGTCTTGCTATGTATGTAAGCTGGCCTTGAACTCACTTATATGGCCCAGGCTGGCCTCAAACTCACAGTTCTCTTGCCTCAGCCTCTCTGAAGTGGTGGGATTACAGGCATGTGCCACCATTAGCCCAGTAAATATTCCACATTTTGATAGAATCTAACTTCTTTTTTTTTCTTACCAGAGTTGAAACAAACCTTGGGGCTATGGGAGGTCCTCAGGAAGCTGCAAGTAAGAGAATGCAGTCCCCAGTCAGGGGCCAGACAGTGGTAGCCAGAGATGCTCAAACCTGAAGAAACAGTTTTGGAGGTCACACTGCACGGGCACCATGGCAGCAGCATCTCTCAGCACCACGCTTTCTCTGCCTCCTGGCAGTGCATCAAATGATTCAGCCAGGCTTCCTAAGTAGCTTCCGGAATGCTTGCTGTTGTGGTACAGACCAAAACCAGGGAATGGGGAAGCCCCCTGGAGGAGGGATCACCCAGGCAAAGCTGGGGGTGTGGAAGTGATTGAAGATGGAAAGTGAGCCAGCTGGAGAACCCCAGGCTAAAATTAAACACCCCCCCCCCACGCCGTGCCCTACATGTATTGCTCTCAATTTTAGCTTTGCCCAAGTTCAAAGCATCTACAACTTGATTTGGGGGGGTACTAGAGATTGAGCCCAGGCCTTTGTTCAGAGCTACAATCCCAACTTGCCTTTACTTTTTGAGACAAGATCACCCTAAGCCTGGGTTTGAATTTTCATTCCTTCTGCTTGTTTTTCTCAGATTACAGCCATGTACCATAAAATTTATTGCTTAAAGCAAGGGCAGAAACAAGGCCAACAGGCATTAAAGGCTTAGGAAGTGGCTGGTTAATGTGCACAGATGAGCCAGAACTGACAGCGACGACTGTTTTGGTTCCACTTTTCCAAGTGCTGGAATTACAGGTGTGTGCCACCATGCATGTTTTCACTTTTCTATACTCTTGCCCAGAGTTAAGGTTTCAGTATCTCAAATCAGCTGTCAATCAGGTAGGAAGTCACAGCTGATTTTTTTTTTTTTTTTTTTAAACAGGGTCTTATGTAATTTGAACCGACCTTGAGCTGACTATGGAGCGCAGGCTGGCCTTGAACTCAGATATTCCTGCCTCAGCTTCCCAAAGCTGGGATTACAGCTGCCACATCTGAACTTTTCAGTTCTTTATCCTGCCAACTATTGTACTTAGTCACACACATTGAGTGCTGAGCCCCATGTTGTGATGGGGGAGCAGACGTTTTATTTTTTTGAAATAGTCTCACTTAGCAAGTGAGACTCACATAGCATGTAGTTCAAGCTGGCCTCAAACTTGCAGTTGTCCCACTGCCTCAGTCTCCTATGTGCTAGTGTTATAGACATCCACTACTAAGCCCAGCTGACACTTTAAAAAGATACAAATAGGTATGCTGGCACAGACCTAGAATCACAGCTTTGGGAGGGTGAAGCAGGAGGATCACCTGAGAGAGTTAATAGAGAATTTAAGGCAAGCCTGAAGTACAAAGCAAGAGTGTGTCAAAATAAGTTTGAGGCCATCCTGGGCCACTTAGGGAGACTTTGTGCCAAAAAAAATCCACTTAGTGCAAAGGCCCTGGGTTCAATCCCCATTATCACACACACAAAAAGCGTTATTACAGTATATCTTCAATTTATAAACAAGTTCTGTTCTGGGAGAACACTTTTTTTTTTTTTTTTTTTGTCTTTTTTGTTTTTTATCGGTACCAGGGATCGAACTCACAACTGCCTGCTTGCAAGGCAGGTGCTTATGCCGCTGAGCTAAATCCCTAGCCCTGGGAGAACACTTTTTTAATTATACTAGAGATGGAACTCAGGATCTTGTACATGCTAGGTGAGTACCACTGAGCTACCTTCCCAGGGAGAACCCTGTTAAGTAGGATTCATTCATAGCCTAACAAAATGAATCTTAATACACCTTTAACACACAGATAAAGCATAAAAAACCCAAACATAACACAAAAATACTATAAACTTTTTACTTTTATAGTTACTTGAAACTGGCAGTTCAGTACAGTGCCACATAGGGGAGTACACAGAGTGAATGGACAAGAAAAAAATGGCTAGAGGAGGGAGAGTAGGTGAGAGATGGTGGAACCAAAGACTCATCAGCAATAGGCCATGGTGGGTAAGATGGGATTTGGTCCCACCTGATGTTGATACAGGTTTTTTTGCTGGATCCAATTGTTTAACACCCTTAAAAATGATCCAGTAATATCTAAGTAATGGTTCTTTCTCATTATCAGTAAGTGTTGCTAGAAAGTCTTGGGCAGCTATGGTCCCTGCACTTGCAGCCTCATTTCTTCATTCCAAAGGTTGGCTCTAGCCTTCAATCTATTAAACCATCTGTGGCTGGCAGAAAAAAATGCACTCTGTTTACCCTGTTTTTTTCTTCAAGTCTTCAAGCAGTCATTTAGCTTTTTCTTGAATAATCATTCAACTAAGTGGGACTTGACACTGATGCTAACACTGCATCCACACACTGAGAAATTTCTCCATCTCCTTTTATCACTGTACCACTCTTTGTGGATATCATTATTGACTTTGTTAGCCCAACTTCACATGTTCCATGATCTTGTCCTTATTCTTTAGAATTGTGCCAGTGTTGATTATGTTTTAAGAACAAGTGATGTCTACCATCTTTTCACCTGGTCCAGTCTCTCAGTTATTTTTCACCTTTGTTTTGGTTATTGCTTTGTGCTTCCTAACAGTCTCCTCTGCAGCACCACTGCTTTTCTTCTGCCAGACATCCTGGGTTTTGACTGAGCACTGTACTGCTGTACATAAGCACACAGCAGCACAATGTGACAATGGCCAGCAGACACCTTAGTTATTTCTGCAATGTGTTCCATCTGTGAATGTTTGTATGCAAGCTCCAGTTTGTATCTGTAAAAATTTGCAACTTGAATGTTCAAATCAGGGACTTACCATATTTGTTAAAGTCTTGCTTTCTCAGGGGATAATCTGCTATTCTTGTTAATGGGAAGCACCTCAGTTCTGCTTCAGGCAAAAGAGTACTAAGCTTAGGATTCTGGCCAAATCAGGTAAGGCTTCTTGCAGAATTCATTCACTCAAACCGTTTTCATCACTTCCTATGTACACAGAGGGTCTAGAAGGGGAGCACAGCTATTCATATACCCTTGACCGAGCAACAGTCCTCCTTTTTCAGGGTTGACCAAGTGTGAAGAGTTAGGAGGGATGCACATGGAGCACTGAGGAAGGGGACACTGGCCTAGCCAGTCAGATCCGCTGAATCAACCCTGGGAATCAATGTAGTGACAGATGTCACAGCCAGCTCGCCCTTACATCCGCAGTATTTTTACTCTGGGGAGCTGACAGTGTTCCTAGGGATTTACATACATGAAATTGTAAATATTAAAGGTATAGACTAAATGCTGAGTAGTCAGAGAACCTGGATTTTAGTAATCAGGGAAGGCTTCCTGGAAAAGTTCATATTAAGTGTCCACAATAAATTGTACTTCATTCTGCAACAGTTTTTTACAGGCCACCTAATAAATAGCAGGTCTAGCTGGGTGTGGTAGTACATGCTTGGAATCCCAGTACTGTGGCAGCCTGAGGCAGGAGGTCTGATAAAGTTCCAGCCCAGCCTGGGCAATTTAGCGATTTAAGACATTGTCTCAAAAAATAAGCAAGGAACTAGGGATGTAGCTCTGCGCTAAAGCCATGGGTTCAATCCCCAATTAACTCCCCATCCCAAATAGTAAAGCAAGGTAATGGTACAGCGAGGTAGGTCAAGGCGACAAGCCCAAAAAGCGTGCTGAGAAACGGAGCTAGTTTTGAAGGCACTTAAGACGAAACAAGAATCTTAGGCAACTATAATACTCACACTGCCTTATCCTTTCTGGCATATTTGAAGCATTGACACATTCTTGAGGTAGAGGAAAAGGGAAAAACGGTAACTTCCTATATTGGCCTACTCCAGTTTGGTGGGAAGCGGAATGAGACCCATATCTAAGAATTGGTACCTCTCTTGTGTCTTGATACATAATTCATGAACCTGTGGCGTATCCACCCTCCCACTTCCACAGAAATCCCTTTCCGGAAGCCGGGACGGCAGTTTTGAAGGTTCAATTTATTCTTTAACCCAACCCGCCTTCACTTCCGCTATGACGTCACATCCACCAAAGTCTTCCCCCCACCCCCTCCCGCTCCTGAAACAGAAGCCACTTCCGCCCCTATGTGTCGTGACTTCCGCCCGAATATCCCCGGGCGCCTACAGCGCCGGAAGTGCTCTAGCCGCTCCCGGAAGTGACTAGGCCTTTGCACTCCCTCACTTTCCTCAGTGCCACCCCCCCCCCCGCGTTGCTATTTCCCTCCCTCCCCCTTTTTCGTTTCCGGCGCTCCCGCCTTCTCTCCACAGCGACTCTCTCCGGAGCCTGTAGGGGGGGAGGGAGGGAGGGGGCGTGGAGGAATTGGGGTTCCCGGGAGCTCCAGCACCAGCACTTCCGGGTGAGTGTTCGGCAGGGCGGGGGACCACCCACTGCCTCGCGCCCCCGCCCTGCGAGTGTCTCGCGCGCGCTCGTCGCGTTTCAGTGTGTAGGTCTGTCTCGCGCCTGAAGTGCGTGCCCGCGCGCCCCGCCGCGCGCCCTCCCCGTCCTGGCCCTCCCACCCCACTCGACTCCCTCCTTTCCCAGCACACACCGCCCCTCCCTCGCTCCGGCTCAGGCTTTGGCGCCGCCGCAGCCGTTGCCGCCGGGTGAGTCTCGCGCCGCTGCAGCTGGCGCACGCCGAGCACCCTGCTCTTCCCCCTCCCCTTTTCCTGGGGGGAGGGGGGTCCACGGTGTGACTGTAAGTGTCCGTCCCGGAACCGGAAGTGGCTGTGGAGGAGCGGGCGATGGGGAGGAATGGGGGGGCTTAGGGGGCGGGTGCCTGTGTGGTGGGTGGTAGAGTTTAGCTCCCTGGAGGGGTTAGGAGGGACGTCCCAAGGAAGGGTCTTGGAGGAAAGAGTGGAGGGTGACATCAGGAGAAAGCTCCCCCGAGCTGTCTCAGGGGATCGAGGATTTGGGGGGAACAGCTGGGGTTTCCAATAGGTAGACCACTGTGCTGGCTGGGGAGGTAGTTGTTGGCACCAGGCCTTGGTAGGCAGGGGGCGAAGTCCTCGCAGAAGTAGGGGGAGGCTAGAGGAAGTAGCTGGGCCTGAACTTGGCGCTGTGCCTGACACAAGGACTGGTGTATCTCCCCCCAGCCTTCAGCTTTGCCTTCTGAGGCCACTTCTTAGGGGCAGGCACCCCCACCTCCAGCTTTAGTGTTTGCTGACTCCATGTACCTGTGGCCAGAAAGGGGAGACAATCAGTGTCTGAGCCTAGGAGAACCCAAACGCTAGTGGTAGTTCATTTTAGTTTCTGAGAGTTGCATTTATTTCCCTTGTATCCACATAGGGATAGCACAGAACTCCTATTACTTTATCCTTCCATCTTTGAATTGTTGGTGGGGAGTCAGCCTGCCTTTTAGATTGACTGCTGTCAAGGAATTCCTAAGCTTTCTACAGTTCTGTGGTGGCTGCACCCTCACTGGCTCCTATAACCTAGACAATTTGCTTACAGAAAGTTCAGGAGCCCTGGAAAGGAGAAGGAATAAGGCGACAGGAGGAAGAGAGAGAGAGGGTAAGACGATTTTGGATTCTTTGGTTTTGGGGGAAAAGGGATAACAATCAAATTGGGGCTTTTCTGGCACAGTGTGACCAAGTTTCAAGTAATAACAATCTTAATTCTGTGGTGTTTGCTGTGGGAGAAAGATCAGTCTTTTCCCACTGTTCAGGGTTCCCAAAAACTTTTAATGTAAAAAGTTGATACTGTACCCTTGTCACCTTCCATTACCACTAGTACTCAGCAGGAATGAAATATGAAAAGCCCAAGTGAAACCAGACCACTAAGTAGGTGTGTATTGTGTCCGAGGGAGAAATTTGTTCTTCTCTGGGGATGCAAGGACCCTAATTGTCAATGTAGTTCTTATGGGGTAACTTATAGAATTATTTCCCTATATTTGAAACTGGAGCTAAGATTATGCGTAACATTGGAGTGTTTGAAGTAGATCTATTGAGTAATCACAGAATCTGTGACTTGGGGTTATTTGAATTTGGTGTGGCAGGGTGAAGCTTTCAGGGAGAAATTTTTTTCTTGAGTAGTTTGAAGCAAAGATAATAAAACTATGGAGTAGATTCTATAGTCTGAAAGAATTCAATGTGAGGCCTGATGGTAATAATGAGAGTTTAACCAAAAAAAAAAACAAACAAACAGGGTTTATGTGTGGAGTTGGTTGAGAATTTATCACTTAGGTTCCAACTTGGTTTTTTTGGTTTGTTTGTTTTGGTACTGGGAATTAAACTCAGGATCCTGCACTTACCAGGCAGGCACTTATGTCACTGAACTATATGTCTGGCCCTCACCTTAGAAAATAAATATTTTAAAAACCAGTTTAAAGCCACTTGTGGCACATACCTATGATCCCAGCACTCTGGGAGGCTAAGGCAGAAGGATCAAAAGTTCACACGCAGCCTGGACTATTTAGCAGTTCTGAAACGGGATTACTGGGCTGAACATGGGAGTGTATGCCTATAATCCTAGCATTTTGGAAGGCTGAGGCAGGAGGATCTGCATGAATTCTAGGCCAGTTTGAACTATGAGGTAAGACCCAGTTTTTTGGGTTTCTTTTTTTTTTTTTTTTTTTTTTTGAGACAGGTGTCGCTGTTGTTGTTGTTCAGCCTGGCCTTGAATTGCAGCAATCCTCCTGCCTCAGCTTTCTGAGAGGGAATTACAGCATGCACCATCAGACTCAGCACAAGACTCAAAAGACAAGACTGGGAATATAGCCAGTACAAAGATCATAGGTTCAATCTCTAGTACCCCCCACCAAGAAACTAATTATAACATTGCCTATGAGTTTATGAGCCAAGTTGATAGTTAAATGAATTAAGTATTACATATTGGTCTGGGATTTAGCTCAGTGGCATAAGCACCTTCGTGGCAAAGGCAAGATCCTGAGTTCAATCCCTGATCCCCCCCCCAAAAAAAAAATATAATATATTTCTTCTTTCGGTTTATATGTTTATTGTACGCTTAACATTTGTGGGTCTTTTTTTTTTTTTTTTTTTTGGTACTAGGGATTAAACCTAGGGCATGCTAATCTTGCATTCAATAACTGAGCTGCACTTGCAACCTTTTCTTACCTTGTTCAGATACATCTTTTAGAGTAGAGCATGCAGGACAGGGGAGGATGCAGTGCTGTCCTCCCAACAGGGTGCACAATACCTTGGGCTGTTGGTTCTCAGGGAAAAGCTGCTGGTGGAGGTTGGCACATGTGTGATGGGGGGGCTGCCGTTCTATACATGGTGTACTGGTTTTTCTGCATTCAAGTTGGGGGGAAAACTGTTCTGTTACCTTGTATTTGATAAACTTTAATTGTAAGGCAGTAGTAGTAGCAGTAGGCAGGCCCCCAAAAACTGTTGGGATAGACTTTTTTTTGCTACTGGGAGTTGAACTCAGGGCCTCACGCTTGCCAGGCACAGCACCACTGAGTTGTATCCCCAGCCCTGCGATGGACTTGAATGTCCTTAAAACCTGAGTGTTTCATTACTAAGAAAAAAATTATTTCTTCATTTCACATCCTTAGCTAGTATTTGAAAAATTTCTGAAGTTGTACATTTTAGGAATGTTTCTCTCAGTAGAATGTCTTAAATTTTTCTGTACTTGAATTTGAGTTGTTTTTTTTTTTTTTCTTTTTTGTATCTCTTTCTTGTTGACATGTCTTGTAGGAGATTACTAAGCTGGAGGCTAAACATCCATTACTGTTGGGTAGGTAGTTCCTTTGTAATTATGTGGTCTTTATGTAATTTTTACTAATTGTTACTAAGAGTCTTCATCATGTAGACATATTTTGCTGATTCTCTTCATGATTTTCTAAAGGTTATTGTGTTAAACGAATGCTATTTTCTTGGGAAAAGAAAATCATGCTTGTGAAACAGCAGTAAAAAGTCATTAGTAAGTAAGAAAAAGATGTGATCTTCACTGTTTTTGTCAAAACTATTTACAAGAGGCCATGACACCTTTTCTAGATTGTTGGTGACACTGTAGAAGAATGTGATTGGATGGACAGAGCTCAGCAGCAAGAGTTCATGTCCTTCTCTTGAGTTCCATGGATAATACTTAATAACATCTCTGTGTCACTTTTTCAGTGCTTCCAAGATTTGAGACTGTAGAACTTTAATGAATGATGCTTTCGTACTCGATTATAGTAAACCTCTCATTACGGAACAGTTGAGGCTTAGTGCAGGAGTAAAATTGAAATTAGAACTCAGGTTTTCAATACGGCAGCATTCCTCTTTCCAGCTATTTTGGCTATAAGAGAAGCCTTCCTCTTCCTTTCCAATCTAGGATAAATGAAATCCTGTTTTGCTTTTCTGTTAACACAGTACTGGGGATTGAACTCAGGGTCCTGGCACTGAGCTACATCCCCTTTTTTTATTTTGAGACAGGGTCTTGCTGAGTCACTAAGCTGCCCGCGCTGACCCCGCCTTTTTTTTTTGGTACCAGGGATCAAACTCACAGCCTCATCCTTGCCCAGCAGGCGCTTATGCCACTGAGCTAAATCCCTAGCCCCTGACCTCTAACTTGTGATTGTTCTGTTTCATCCTCCGAGAGTGCTGGAATTACAAGTTTGCACCTCTAAGCTGACTGCTGCTTTATTTTTTAGTATATTGCTGTAATCATCAAAACTGACTTCTTCCAGTTGTGGTATTGTTGCTCCTGGGATATTGGGACGGCCATGAAAGACCAGAGTAAGTGGTAGAGGACAGTGAACAAGAATGTGAGTGACCTGGCCTAGGGCACCTGTTCCCTAACCCTAACAGCCTTCACTCTTGGCTCTCCCATTGGTCTCATTTCAAGGGATACGTAGTTCTAACCTGACTCTTATTAGAAGTCCCATAGGCATGTGTATGGTCTTGTCTTGTCTTAGAACCTGTTGTGGTTGTAAATCTTCTACTTTGTTCTCTTCAGAACCATAGCAGGGCAATAGGCTGGTTATTCAAGTATTGAGGAAAGGGGGCTTTTTTAATTAATTATTTTCTAGACATCTCTTTTTCAGACTCCATCATTTCAAAATGAACTGTTAGGGGCGGGGATTTAGCTCAGTGGCATAAATGCCTGCCTGGCAAGCGCAACATCATGAGTTCGATTCCCGGTACCAAAATGAATTGTCTATGTAGCCAAGTGAGGTTTCACAAGATCTTGAACTTGTGTCAGATTACTGTTAATGAAAACTTCAATTTTAAACTGTGCAGCATATCCCTGTAATCCTCAGACATAGGGAGGCTGAGTCAGGAGGATTATAAATTCAAGGCCAGCCCAAGCAGTTTCACATGACTTTGTCTCAAAATTTAACAAAAGTTTTAAAGAACTAGATGCTGGATATGTGTGGTGCTGCCTGTAATCCCAGCACTCAGGAGGCTGAGGCAGGAGGATCTCCACAAGTTCAAGGCCAGACTGGGCTACATAGTAAGTTCGTGGACAGCCTGAACTACATAATGAGACTCTGTCTCAAAAAACTAAAAACAACAGTAAAAAACAAAACAAAAGACTGGGTGTGGTGGCACATATCTGTACTCACAGCACTGGAGGCTAAGGCAAAAAAATCCATAAATAGCTAGGTATGGTGGCTCATGCCTGTAATCCCAGCACTCAGGAGGCTGAGGCCGGAGGATCGTTTCGAGTTCAAGATCAGCCTGGGCTACAAAGTGAGCTCAAGACCAGCCTGAACTGCATAGTGAGACCTAGTCTCAAAAAAAAAAAAAAAAAAAAAAAAATCCACAAGTTTGAGGCTAATTTGAGGTCTGTAGTGAGTTTAAAGCCAATCTGAACTGCATACCACCCGGTCTTTAAAAGACCAAAAGAAAAATGGCTACAGATGTAGCTCAGTGGGTGCCCTGGGTTCTTTCGTCCAATACTACAAACAGAACAAAACCAAAAACTGATTTTTTTTTTAACATATGAAAGATTTTTTTGCTTTGTAATCAATAAACGTAAGATGTCACAGGTAAAAATTTTAATTTTGACAACTACGTAAAATATAATTTATTCCTTGAAAGATTCTCAGTATTAGTTCTGGAATCAAGTTATACCACCATAATGTATACTTCAGTTGTATGGTTTTGATCCCTTATAGAAACTTTCTGTAACCCACTGAGTTAAATGCTTCAGACTTCTGCTCTATTTACTCTCTGACTCTACCTTCAGCTTCCATATTTGAAAGATTGGGGGGTAGGGGCTGAGGATTTAGTCAGGGGCAAAAGTGCCTGCCTGGCAAGCATGAGGTCATGAGTTCGATCCCCAGTACCAAAAAAAAGAGAGGGGGTTTTGTACATACCTCATAGAATGATGAGGATTAAATTGGGAGCAGTAATGCATACCTGTAATCCTAGCTATTTCAAGAGGGTGAGGCAGGAGGATCTCAAGTTCAAAGCCAATCTGACAACCTTGCAAGAACTTGTCTTAATACAAAAAGGTTGGGGTTGTGGCTCCATGATGGAGCACTTGCCTAGCATGCATGAGGCTTTGGGTTCCATCCCCTGTACTGGGAGGATAAAAAGAATTTTGGGACTGAATGATGTAAGCGATGTCAACGTGCTTTCAGTGCTACCTTGGGTACAGTAATTTCTTAATAATTATGGCAGTGTTGGTGACATAGTCTGCCACATCACTTAGTCAACCTTCTTTTTTTGGGGTCTTTTTTGAGATGGGGTCTCACTTGCAGTTCAGGCTGGCCTTGAGTTCATTTTGTAGCCCAGACTGGTCACGAACTTGCAATGATCCTCTCACCTCAGCCTCCCGAGTGCTGGGATTACAGGCATGAGCCACCATGCCTGGCTTAGTCAACCCTCTTTATGAAAACTTATAGGAGTCAGGGACATGTAGGACAGAATGAGTGGATGTGATCTTTTGGGAGAGAGGAAGACCTTGTTCAGGAATTCTATACATGTACTTTATGCTTTGGTGGTGGTGGTACTAGGGTTTGAAAGCAGGGAGGGCCTTTGCACTTTGTTACATCCCTTTTCCTTTTTAAATGTTTTCTTTTGAGGCAGGGTCTTGCCAAGTTACCTGAGCTAGGCTTGAAGTTGAGATCCTTCTCCTTCTCAGCCAGCCTCCCAGAGTGGTAGGATAGCAGGTTTGCACTGCCACGCCTGGCTATGTATGTACATTTTTACTACCAGGCTCTCAGTTCCTCTTTGAAGTCTCACATCCATAATACATTTACTTCCTTGAATTTTTTTGGCAGGGTCTTGCTATGTATCTCAGGCTTGAGCTCATGATCCCCCTGCTTTAAGTGTGCTAGGATTACAGGCATGTACACCTTGCCCCTCCTACTTTGAATTTTTTGTTTGTTTTTGATGGAGTATTGAACCCAGGGCCTTTGTACTCTATTCTTCCCTTGGCCCCCTCCCTTATTTTGAGACAGGATCTTTACAAATGGCTGAGTAACCCAGTTTGGACTTAAATGTGGAATTCTCCTGCTTCAGCCTTCCAGAATGCTGGGATTATAGGCCTGGACCACCACACCTAGCTATTTCGTTCATACTTTGATTTGTTTTGAGACAGGAGCTCACTACCAGTTTAGATTGTGCTTGAACTCACTATGTATCCCAGACTGGCCAATATCCTGCTGCCTTGGCCTCCCAAGTGCTGGGATTGTAGTTGTATGTGCCACCACACCTGGCGACTTGCTTCATTCTGTAGGGGAAAATTATATATTAGACTTTTCTGTTGTTGGCCAGCCCAGTGCTCTACTCTAATCATTTTGTTATTTAACATTTTTACCTAAATTTCACTTCTCTCAGCTAGCAGGTTAGACAGATTGTGATTTAAATGTTTGAGCCTTAGCCTGGAGTGGTAGCTCACACCTGTAATGCCAGCACTCGGGAGGCTGAGGCAGGAGGATCCTTGCAAGTTGGAGACCAGCCTAGGCTACAAAGTGAGCTCAAGGTCAGCCTGAACTGCACAGTGAGACCCTGTCTCAAAAAGACCAAAATAATAATAATAAAGGTTTGAGCCTCTAGCATTTTCAGAATCTATGTGTAGAACCCACTGACTTCAAGTCATTTAATACTGATTGCTTTTTGGATAATGAATTCTGTATCTGGGACACGGGAAGACACAAACATATAATACCTGACTACTGCCTCCTCTGAAGCTATGATGAGATTGAAATCTCAGTACAGTGCTAGAGCTGAAAGGACTAGATTAGCACCTGTGTGGAAAACCATCTTTTTAGTGCTCAGTTGGGCCTCAGTATTTGTGAAATCAACCAAAATATTGGGTTGTAGCTGATATGTACTGCTGTATGTCATTAGGTTTAAGATGGTGCTGTCTGTGTTCAGTGTGACACTTTTTCTTTTCTTTTTTTTTTATTGGTACCGGGAATCGAACTCACAATCACGCGCTTGCAAAGCAGGTGCTTATGCTGCTGAGCTAAATCCCCAGCCCCTCAGTGTGATACTTTGTCCCTTGTCATCATACCCTAAACAGTTCAGTAGAGTAACTGTTTACAAGGGAGTTATACTGCAGTGTCATAAGTAGTCTTGAAATTTTGCTACCCATGCAGGTTGTCTACAGACACTGTACTGTATATTAAAGGACTTGAGCATCTGTACTTTGTATTGGAGTAAGTCCCGTTTGTGGAGCATCACAGACAACTGCATTTGACCACTTAGGGAGCTGCCTGAGTGGTCCTTTCATCTTTAGCCTTGTTTGTGGGAGTTTCTCTAGTCACAGATTTGGTACACTCCTGTGTTTTGCCACTTTTAGAAACAGTAGAGAAAAAAAGAAAAATAGATTTCTTTCCCTTGTAGACATCATGAAAAATGGAGTGGTCATAGAGCATAATGTGATGAACCCTTGAAGATAAGGAAAAGAGCAGCACTCTTAGTTTTGACACCTTGGTTGGGATCCTTTCTAGCATCCTTGGTTGCTATGTAAAACTCATTTTCTTTTTTTTTTTTTTTTCTAGTACTGGGGATTGAACTCATGACCTCATGCTTACCCAGATGGGCACTAGAGCCACTGAGCTAAACCCTGGCCCATGAAACTCATTTTCTGTTCCTGTCTGGTCTCCAACACCTCCAGGCTCTGGCCGTGCCACCAGTGAGTCCTCAGTGGAGTTAGTGAACCCTGGAGCCATGAGGCTTCCTTTTCTACCTGAGCCTTGGTGACTCATGGCTCAAGGGAGCAGCATAATGATTTTTCAGTCACAGTACTGGGGAAACCTAGGGCCTTCACATCAAGTTATATTCCTTTATTTTTTATTTTGAGACAGGGTCCTGGTAAATCTCTAAGTTAGCTAGGCAGGGCTTGAATTTATGACCCTCCTGTTTCAACCTTCCAGAGTGCTGGGATTATACCCTAGGACACCATACCTGACTGGTAATTTTTTAAACTGACACTATTAATTGTACATGTTTATTGAGTGTGAAATGTGATAATTCCATATACGTGTAGCATGTGTAATGATTAAATCCCACTACTTAATTTGCCATTTTTGTGATGGTGAGGTTTATTTTCTGGAGTTTCTTTTTCTCTATTCTGCCAGTCTCACGTCTTCACTGTCTTGTGTGAAGTTGGGTATTTTCCTAGTTCAAAATTGGGGGAGCTACTTCCCCCCGCCCCAGGGGCAACAATGGTACATACATTGCACAGTGTCATCCCCCAATCATTCTCCGAGAGCACATTTACATTCAATTGTTTGAACAGTACCAGCACAAATCTTTCACTTTAGTGAACGCAACAGAAATCAGTAGTATAACTATCTTAATTATTTTTTATATACATACACATTTTTTTCTTTCAACTTCTCACACTAATGAAACAATACGATGTTTATATATGGTATGTGAGGGGTGTGCTTCTCTTGACCAGTATTCTGCCACCTAGTATTGTAGAAGTGATCAGAGAGTGGAAAGGAGTGATAGGGCGCCTGGACTCTGTACCCTCTGTGCCTTCCCTGTGTTATTCTGAGAGATTACTTCTCTTGTTCTTACTCCTTACAAAGTTGTTTTGGAGATAGGATCTTGCTATGTAGTTCAAGCTGGCCTTGAACTCAACTATGTGGCCCAGGTGGCATTAAATTCATGGCAGTTATATTGCCTCTACCTCTTGAGTGCTATGTTTATCGTGCTCAACTTCTTAAAAAATTTTAACTTTAATCATCATCTACATGCAGAGAAAAATTTGAACTCTCAGAAGAAAAGTGAGAAATACAAAGCAAGAGTCTAGGGCTTTTTTGAAACCCTTTAGGTGAAAATGTAGGGCATTACTGCTGGTGCTAAAATTCTTCTTTAAACTGGCAGTTCTTAGTTCTCAATGCTCAGCCTGGCATGTCTCATATCCAGCAAAACACCTTGCATGTTCTTGAACATTGGTAGGGTTTGTGTGATGATATCCCCATATATTAGTCTGGTATTAAATAAAATACCTTGGTTTTGGTTTCTGTCAGTTTAATTCCTTATTAACTTGAGTATTTAATGTTTGGGCCTAAAACCTTTTTAATTTAAGCTCTATAAAACTGTAAACATTTTGGTTGAAAATCTTAAAATTTGTATTTCAAGGAGGATTGTGTTAGGGGATATAGGAAAAGAGAGGCACAGTGGCCATTTGCAGGCCATTTGGTGATTTGTTTCATGTGACCTTGGGCATATAACCCTCCTCTTATAACCTCATTTCTCTTAACTTGTCAGTGAAAAGAAGCACTACCACTTCTGTTTCTTTGGGGCTTGTCATACCTGTGGCTCTATGAGATATGTATAGTTCTGTCACAGATGTTTACTAAGGTAGCTTTTTTTTTTTTTTTTTTTTTGAGTAGAGAAAGTGTTGAGTATGTCTGATCAAGGGCACTCACATTCTGGATGCTGTCTTGACTGTTCATTCCCAGGTGTGTCCCAAGTACCAAGAAGAGACCTATACCCCCTCAGCCCCTTTTTCTGTGGCTGAGTTTCTGCAGATCTCTTCCTGGGTGTGATGTACTCTTCCTTTCTTTCTTCAGGTAGAATGGAAGAATCTCACTTCAATTCTAACCCATACTTCTGGCCTTCTATCCCCACAGTCTCAGGACAGGTAGGTGGTGTTTGCTTCCTATGTCCTTTACTTCTCAGCTCTGAGGAGTGAAAAGGTCCTGTGACTGGAGTCTGAAGTGACCTAAACCACACACTACTCCATTACTGAGACCCATCCCTGGGAGCTTGGTAGAGTTTCTGTCTTGGCTTCTGTGTGGAAGCGCAAAGAGCTAGACTATCACTGTTCCTTGATCTCTGAGGAGGAAAGACTGAAAAGTGCTTAGGGAACAGGCAAAATCAGACTGTGGATCTGAAGGACTTCCTTCCCCTTTCATCTCTTTTAGATCGAGAATACAATGTTCATCAACAAGATGAAGGATCAGCTGTTGCCAGAGAAGGGATGTGGGCTGGCCCCACCTCACTACCCCACCTTGCTAACAGTGCCTGCCTCAGTGTCTCTGCCCTCAGGCATCAGCATGGACACAGAGTCCAAGTCAGAGCAGCTCACCCCACACAGTCAGGCGTCTGTCACCCAGAATATCACGGTGGTCCCGGTGCCATCGACAGGACTGATGACTGCTGGTGAGCACCTCTGCTCTTCTCCAATCTGAGGTGTTGATCTTCCGTGATCAGGACCCCAGGCTGGATGGCTCTGAGGACATGGGTGTGGGGTGTGTGTGATTGCTCAATCAAATTTTTATTAAGTGCCTACTGTGTGCCTAGCAATGTGCTAGGCATTGTGGGGGATACAAAGAAGTAGAAGATGCGGTCCCTGCCTTTGAGGAGGTGACATTCTTTCCTTCTCTGAATCAAGGAGTCTCCTGTTCTCAGAGGTGGAGAAGAGAAGGGAGTCAATCAAGGGGTAAATCTCACTGTTACCAGGGGGGTGGGGACAGGGGTTAGGCGACCATTGTTTTTCTACAGGGTTTGGGGTTTCCTGTGCATTGTGGGATGGGGAGGGGTGGTGGGGGATTAGACAGCTATCTGGGGGGAAATAAGATGAAACAGTTTGGATCAGAACTGAACAAAATGACACTGTCTCCTCTTTCTCCCAATCCTAGGTCCTGGTTTGGTAATCACATCCCCCTCAGGCTCTCTTGTGACCACAGCCTCATCAGCTCAGAGCTTCCCCATTTCGGCTCCCATGATTGTCTCAGCTCTTCCCCCTGGCTCACAAGCCCTGCAGGTGGTCCCGGATCTCTCCAAGAAGGTAGCATCTACCCTCACTGAAGAAGGAGGTGGAGGTGGAGGTGGAGGTGGAGGTGGCAGTGTGGCTCCTAAGCCCCCCCGGGGCCGCAAGAAGAAGCGAATGCTGGAATCAGGGCTTCCTGAGATGAGTGACCCTTATGTCCTCTCCCCTGAGGATGACGATGACCATCAGAAAGACGGCAAGACATACAGGTAGGAATCACCCAGAGGCAGGATGTGGTGAACATTGCTGTCTCCCCTTCCCCTGCAGTTGTTTGTATCTTACCTCAGCCAGGCTTGATACTGACAGCTTCCTAGCTCAGAGCCACACACACGCATGTCAGGTGTTCCATCGTAGGCTGGGAAGGCAGGACTGCTGGCACTTCTCCAGTGTACATACTCTCCGCCCCTTCCTTTTTTTATCCCCAGTTTTGGTGGTCAGTGGCCATGACTGATTTTTGAGTGACAGGGGATGTCTCATAATAAGGCTTTAGACTGGGTTCAAGACTCTTGAAGTTTTTTTCTTCCTTTGTTTCCCATTCCTATTTTCCCAAGAACACTTTCTGGTGAGCACCTAATCTAACCTGTGTGAAACCATCAACTTTTGGGTCATATTTATACCTGGAGTCTGCTTGACCCCTTCATGGTTGGAATGACAGGAGAGGTTTATATAAAAAGGTGGAAGGAATAGGATACTTCCCCTTAAAGGAGCATATGCTTCTAAAATGACTGTTTGTTCTCTAATTTTGATCCTCTACTTTCTCTTAACTTGTCTGTTACCAAAAGGCATCATCTGCACATTTACGTGTGGTACTATGCAGAAATAATTACATAAGTAAATGCCTTGCCCTTTGGAAGTTAAAAATCTTAATCCTCTTGAGCTGTCAAGGGCCGGTGTGGGTTTGGGGTTTGGTCACAGCATACATAGTGGGATAACTACTCCCACAGGTTGGATGCAGACAGGGATAGGTGTGCATGGCTGGGAGACGGAATCTGTCCTTAGTGTACCGAGATGGGCAATGTTGTTCCCATTTTAGGAGCGAAGGGAACTGCGCCACAGGAAATGGACAGAGCCTTGGGCTCATGGATTCAGTTCCCGGCTCCACCACGAACTTGCTGTGTGACCCTGGGCAAGTCCTTTTCCCCCTCTCTGGGACTCAGTTTCCTCATCTGTAAAAAGGGAGAATTCTGTTTATGTCTCCCATTTGTTGAGAGTATATATATATGTATATTTATATCAGATAAACTTCAAAATGTTGGAAACTTCAGAAAAATTAAAAAATATTCATCACGGGGCTGGGGATTTAGCTCAGTGGCTTAAGTGCCTGCCTGGCAAGTACAAGGTCATGAGTTCGATCCCTAGTACCAAAAAAAAAAAAAAAAAAAAGTCATCACTTAGCATTTACTTTATTTGCATTATATAGCTCTACTAAAGAGAGTAGCTACAGTTACACTGTTTAAATCTCTCTTTATACATGAAAACAAAGGCTTTGTTGCTATGTAGGAAGTAATACTACAGTATTCCAAATCATAATGCAAGTTCATTGCAACTTGATTATTACAGGGGCTATCCCATTTAATACAAAAAGTATTCCCATAAAATGTTTATAGCATATCATGTTATAAAGGTACTTGGCAAGTTTGATTCATTTAAAGGGATTTATATATTCATAGTATGAAAAATCCCTTTTAAGTTTATTGTGTAGAAATCTAGATTTTTATGTGTTTGATTAAAGTAAGGTCACAGAGCCATAGAGAGCCATCTGTATAAAGTGTGTTGTTGGAAGTGTGGGAGGCTTCTCTGACCCCCTGGGAGCCCTTCTGACAGGTCAGAATCCTCTGATTTTTCTAGGTTCTGTTTTTGTTTGGCTTCTGAGTCCATGTTACTGTTATCTCTGGACTTCTCAAACTGTATAAAAAGGAATATGACTATAGTTGGAAGGAGGCCTGATAGAACTTTTTACACCTTTAGTGTTTTTTGGAATTTTGAAAGACCCCACATGCCAGCAACTAAAGGGAACTGAGATTCAAGGTGACTGATAGTGATGTGGGTGCACATCATTCCTTCAGAAACTCAGAGCTTGGGTGTCTTAGAGGAATTGTTAATCACTGAGCATGCCGCTTTTGCATGTGTGACACACATCATCTCCACTGCAGTGGTCATAATGTTTGACTCAGTAGTGGAGGGTTGGTTCTGATATTCTAGGTGAACTGACTTGACTGTCTTTGTTCATTGTATGCAATGGGAAGACCAGCCACACACACATTTATCTTGGGGAAAAGTTTTGAGAGAAAATTGGCTGAAACTGTCTTGAGCATCTTAGGGAAAAAAATGGGACAGTAATTCAGAGTGGTCATTGTGTCCAAGACTATTGTGGCATATGCCTCCAAGGCCATATTTTTACTGTGTTGGATGTAAATGGGGCCTGGGAGTAAGTCACTCTAGGATGAAAGGTGCTGGCTTTCTGTCCCTTTCCAACAACTTACTGCCATAATTCTCTTCAAGCAGATTTCTTTCCAATTATCCAACACTGTGCATTACAGTCCTTTTACCCTAACTTGGCTTCATAGGATTTCAAAGTTGGAATAAAGTTGAGTAACTTTTCTCTGAATGCTGGGACAAGTGTTTTAGATTTTTTCCAAATTATAGAATATTTGCACATATATAAGGAGATTTCATGGGGATAATGCTTGAGTCCAAACATGAAATTCATTTGTTTTGTGTACACCTTATACACATAGTCTAAAGGTAATTTTATATAGTACTTATAGTGAGCCTGCATTTTGACTTTCATCCATCACGTGATGTCAGGTGTGGAATTTTCCACCTGTGATGTCATGTCAGTTGCAAAGTTTTGGTTTTGGAGTAGATTGTGGATTTTTGGATTAGTAGTGCTCAGCCTGTACATTAATGGTCACCTGAACTGAGGCCAGTCCCTTCACCTGGCGGATATCAATCTAACCTCTGCTTCAATGATTCTAGCATTGGGGATCTTGTGTTAGGTTACCTCATGGCTCTTTAGGGAATAGCTCTCCTACTTGCCTTTTGAGTCTTTGTGTTCCTTTCTGTAAAACAGGCAGGAGTAATAATTTGCCAGGCTTTTGTGAGGAGTAGCCAATGCTGGGCATGGTGGCACATACCTGAAATTGCAGCATTCACGAGGGTGAAGCAGGAGGATTGCCGCAAATTCAAGGCCAGCCCAAACTACATAGCAAGACCTCGTCTCAAGAGAGGAAAAAAAAAATATTAGCCAGGGCTGGAGGATTTAGCTCAATGGCACAAGTGCCTGTCTGTCATCTGTAAGGTTTTGAGTTTGATCATCCCTAGTACCCCACCCGGCAAAAAAGTACTAGCCAGTGTTTGGCAGTGTCAGGCAGAACAAGAAGTGGCAACTATTATTTTTCATTATTATAATTGATACCTTTTTTTTTTTTTTTTTTGGCAGACTATTGTCAATTAATTGAAGCTTTGCAGAAGTGAGAGTTACTTCCTTTTTTATAATTAACTTTCATATTAAGGGCTCAGTTGTGTGTTTTAACACCTTATAAACAAGCCTAATGAGATTTTGAGTTGAAATCAAGGTGTTGGAGCTATGTGTGCTGTTCAGTGTTAGAGGTTCAATCCTCAGCACTATATTCTCTTCTTAACTTGATTCTGGCAATTAGGAAAAACTATTTTATATCATTAGTGTAGTTCCCCTCCAAGTGACACTGAAGTCCAGTGCTAACCTCAGTCTTAGTGAAATATTTGGTAGCATGAGTTACTCTGTCAACATTGAGGCTGTTAGCATTAATGCCATTCTCTATCTGGGATAGCCTTAGCCTACTTTTGGTTGTCCTAAGTGTTTGAAGACCCATCTAGGGTCTTTAAACCAGGAAATTGAGATCTCAGTTGGAGCAGGCTTGTAACTTGGTCAGAGAACAGAGCCAGGGTATCCAAACTCCCATTGACTATGTCCTGGGGACCATGCTGACTGTAGACAGAATCTCCCTCCTCCCATGCAGTTACTGGGCATCTCAGACATCAGCCAGGGCTTGACAGGCTGGAACTTAGATTTTCTTCAGTTATCAAGTGACTAGAAAAATGGGAAGTGGCATGAGTGATGGGAATTTCAACACTAATATAGGGCCATACCCAGTTAATTGTGATACCATTTTCTCTGAGGAATTCAGTGTTTTTTTTTTTTTAGTCTTTTTATCAGTTACTCTTTTAAAAATTCTCCTGAAATTAAAAACACACACACACAGAAATTATCAACAGCACATCACCCTAAGTCCTCTTATAAAGCGGGGAGAACCCAGAGACGAGGCACTTGATCTAGTCATCTTGCTCAGGCTGCTACCCTTTCCACTCACCCACACTGATACGAGTGAATTGTTGATAGAAACGACATGGTTCCAGCTTACATATAAATTTTACCTAATAAAGCCTGTAGACCTGTGACTTGGTTTATACAGAGGCTTCCTTATCTGATATTGGTGGATAGTGTCAGAATAGGAAGAACAGTCACCGACTCGGGTGATAAATGAAAGCCACTGGGTGCTGTTGATGTTGCCCTGGAGTGCTGACGTTGGCTTCATTTCTAGGAAAGAGAAGTTTAGTCTGGAAGTTCCTTGTCTAGGAAACCTTTTTCTCCAAAAGACATGAGGGGACAGTCTACTACTGCACTACCACCATCTATGTACCTGGCTTATGGAGGCTGGAGAAGATGGGGCAAATGATTGATTCATTATCAGCAGCATGGTAGAGACCAGACAAAGATGGTTTGGAAAAGCCCCTGTAAATAATTCTGAGGTTTCTCTGCCTCCATCTTTGTAGGAGTCATTGCCAAAAGTAGGGAAAGCCTGTAGAGACAAGAGGGAATCTAATTCTTCATCATGTTGTAGGGGGCTATACATGAGGAAATGGAGAAAGGCGTTTTTAAAGTCTGAAATCAACACAGATATTCCTGGCCCATTAAAAGCTATATCCACCCAGATCCTTGTATTTTTCTGCCTTACCAAAGTTGAATTACTGTTTTTACATACTTAAAGAGACTAGTCATTCAACAAACATTTATAATGTGCTGGGAACTGTTTAGAAGCTTAGGCTGTAAAGATGAATGGTAAACCATCCTCAAGGGCCTCATAGTGGAGTTAGGAGAGGGATCAGATAGTGGCTTCTCTGGGATGTGGAGGGAGGTTCCAGCGGTGCTCCTAGTGGAAAGGGTTTTGACTGCTACCTCACTTGGCCCAGGTGCCGGATGTGCTCCCTGACATTCTACTCAAAGTCGGAGATGCAGATCCACTCCAAGTCACACACCGAGACCAAGCCCCACAAGTGCCCACACTGTTCCAAGACCTTCGCCAATAGCTCCTACCTGGCCCAGCACATCCGTATCCACTCAGGGGCCAAGCCCTACAGTTGTAACTTCTGTGAGAAGTCCTTCCGCCAGCTCTCCCACCTTCAGCAGCACACTCGGTAAGGCTGCTCTCGGTTTTACCTACTATCTGGCTGTGATCCCCTCCTCTAGGCCATGTTGCCTGTACCAACTCCTCTCTCCATACATACTCTTTTTTGCCTTTTATCTTTTCCCTTTGGGATCCGCTGTTCTTTCTTGTTTCTGTCTGTGAAAAAAATAAATTATAGCAATATGGGGGCCTTGAAAATTGTGGTCTACAATCCCAAACTCTGGAACAATTTTTGTGGTTTCTCTGTGTGTGTGTGTTTGGAAGTCGTCTGCAGAGCAGGCCCTGATTTTAATATATGCTTCAGTTCAGAGCCAAGGTGTGCATTCAACTTCAGGTCAAGGGGAAACAGATGGTATTGGTCTGTGTTCAAATTGCTATTTGGAAGCAGGGTATCTGTGGTGAGTGTGTGACCTTAGGAAAAAGCCAAGGGTTGACAAGACTGGATATTTTAATGCTACCAGAAGCCATGGGTTGCAGCTCTTCATCATCTCACTGCCATTCTAGCCATCGACTTACGATCAGCAACAACCTAGACCTGGGTGTCCTCTTCATTAGCCTCTCCAGGCCGGAACGTGTTTGGGTGGAGGGAGGAGGGGGCACTGTCATCCGCCAAGCAACATCATTTCACCCAGCAGAGAGCAGAGCCCGTGGTGTCGAACTGCTCCCTCCTCCCCCCTTCCCTCCTCTCCTCTCCGGCAGGATCCACTCGAAGATGCACACGGAGACCATCAAGCCCCACAAGTGCCCGCACTGCTCCAAGACTTTCGCCAACACCTCTTACCTGGCCCAGCACCTCCGTATCCACTCGGGGGCCAAGCCCTACAACTGTTCCTACTGCCAGAAGGCCTTCCGCCAGCTCTCCCACCTCCAGCAGCACACACGGTAAGGGAGAGTGGCGGGCTACTGACCCGCCCCGCTGGCATGCCCTCCCTACCCCCGGCCCGGACACACAACAACCCGCATGCGGGGGGCGGGGGAGAGGCCTGGCTGGAGGAGACCATGGCTGACATCGGAGAGAAAGATGACCAAGTATCTACAGTGGAGACTCAACTGGTAAAGTGAGCCTTTCTGGGACAAGAACTAACTCCAGGAAATACTCTGTGTGATGTCCCTGATCGGAGAGGGAGAGACACCTGAAGCCAGGACAACTTTCCTTTCTCGTTTCCCTGCATGAAACTATCCATGCATGTACATCTTGCAAGATTTCCTCTTTGATGCTAAAGCAGAGGCACTTCATTGGAGAAGACCATGTACCTCTCCTGTGGAGCACCAATTATGAATAGGAGCTATTAGTTGGCACCAGCCTAGTGATACCCACAGCAACAAGCAAGACTCCAAGGGATGCCAGAAGTCAAGACCAAAACAAAACACATGCTAAACATGAGACGCAGCAAGCAGAAGACGGAAACAGTCCTATTTCATAAGGATACCCACTATTCATCTGATGAACCTGAAGTGGCCAAGAAGGGAGCCTGCCTGCTAAAAGAGCTGATGCTGTCCTGTGGTTGCTAGCTCAAGCTGAACTGGAATCCAGAGTCTATCTCACCTCGCTTCTTGTGGACATGACAGTTTCAACTTAAAGTGATCAGAGAAGAGGAGTCAGACTTTGTTCACAAAGTAGAGATACGATATTTTCAAAGTCATAATGGAGGTCCAGAGGAGGTGGTTCTCAGCTTCATGGAGAAGAGCAAATAGCAGTGCACTCTCAAGTCTTGGACTTGTCTGAGCAGAAGGTTGGGGGAAGAGGTCAAATTGGTACCAATGGAGGCATTTCCAGCCTTCGTTGAGAGGCTGGAATGAGCTCCGAATGAAAAGGCTGACCTGGAATGCTACTTTTCACAATCAACTTAACTCTGCTTTTCTTTGCTACCAGAGCCTTTTCTGGAAGTGGTGTTCTAGACCAACGGGCAGTTCTGGCTGCTGGGAGAAGGAAGAATGTTGTGTTTTTCTTTTTCCTTGCCCTCATGTTCACTTTGTTTCTGAATCAGTTTTTGGCCTTTTGGCTAAGCTCATGTGTACCTTACATTTCTGAACATTCTCTAGGACAGTTACTGTAGGAGCTGGCATGTTATGCCAAATCATGGCCTTTCTGGAATCTGAAGCCTTAGCCTTTTTCTCTAAGTAGCAGGGCCTCATCTTGAGCTAAGTGGTACAGGCAGCAGTCAGAAGTCAGGTGTGAGAAACCAGTTAGGTCAAAGAGGAACTGTGGCAAGAGCCTCCTGATGAGCTGCTTCCAGGGCACCTGAAAGGCTCATGGAGGGTCTGTTCAGGAGCCCAGTTCCTGAGTGGCCTTGCTGACCTTCATTCTCTATCTTCTTATCTTATCTTGTGCAGAATCCACACCGGTGATAGACCATATAAATGTGCACACCCAGGCTGTGAAAAAGCCTTCACACAACTCTCCAATCTGCAGGTAAATGTTCCACCTCCCACCAGCCAGGGTCTGTGACTTGGAGTCAGGGTGCCCTGTGACTAGTGTGATTCTCATAGTTTCCTCATAAAAATTACTGAGGCAACTAAAGAGCTTTGGGTCATGCTTGACTAATCTACATAGGGATGGTGAAACTGAGACACTAAAAATACTTGGTAGTCTTTTTAAGAAGAATAGTATAGCAGGCCATGGATATAGCTTACTGGCACAGTGTCTGCCTGGAAAGTGCAAGGTTCTGAGTTCAATTTCTGGTACCAAAACAACAACAGCAACCACAACAAAAATAGTATAAAGGCCGGGCATGGTGGCTCATGCCTGTAATCCCAGCACTCGGGAGGCTGAGGCAGGATCGTTGTGAGTTCAAGACCAGCCTAGGCTACAAAGTGAGCTCAAGGCCAGCTTGAGCTGCATAGCGAGACCCTGTCTTTTAAAAAAAAAATTTTATATATATATATATATATATATATGGCTAGGAGTGTAGCTCAAAGTCAAGTCTTTGGGTTCAGTGCTCAGTACTACCAAAGAAAAGAAGTATGATTGAAATACTGAAGTTTTAAAATTTTATTGCAACGAAAAATACCTTGCCCTTAATCTCCCTCAAAATTTGTCCCTCACTTCAGATACACCCTGTTATTCTTGCCAGTTCTGACGTTATTCTTGCCAGTTTTGAAGCATTTTTTTTAAACTGTAATAACTTGAACTTATTAGGTAGCACGTGCTGGCCTTAAACTCACAGTAATCTTCTGCCTCAGCCTTCTGAGTACTGGGACCACAGGTATGCACCATCATGGCTGGCCTGTAATAACTTTTTAATTTAAACATACCATATTTTTCAATCACACCTTGTATACAGCTGGGTGTACTAGCATACACTTACAATCACAGCTACTGAGGAGGTAGAGGCATGAGGATTCCAAGTTCTAAGCTAAGCCATCCTGGGCAGCTTAATAAGATCTTGTTTCAAAATAAAATACTAAAGGGGTTAGCGGGGAGGCTAATAGGAGTTTCAATCCTATGGGCTCCTGAAATGCTCCTAGGGTTCCTAGAAACCTCTGTACCTTTGAGAACCACTGTGCAGGGGCAGCCAGTGTAAGTTTCATCATTCGGCACCCAGGTATGTAGTATTCAGCACATGAGGTGTACTGTGCCTCTTTCTTTGCCTCTAGCTCCCCGAGATTCATGAAAGCCTTTGATTGAGAGCAAAGCTGGGAGGCCTCATGCTTATCTCAGGCCCTCCATAAAGGTGAGGGAGAGTGCCACATACTCATCCTGCTTTCTCCTGATATTCTCAGTCCCACAGACGGCAGCACAACAAAGATAAACCCTTCAAGTGCCACAACTGTCATCGGGCGTACACAGATGCAGCCTCACTGGAGGCGCACTTATCTACGCATACGGTGAAGCATGCCAAGGTGTATACATGCACAATCTGTAGTCGGGCGTACACATCGGTGAGTTCTTCATTTCTTCCACACAGCCCTGTTAAGACAACAGTCTCCTGTGCCCCTTCCTTCCAGATAAAGATCTGTTAACAGCAAATGAGATTCAGAAGTAGAAATAATGAGGCCTACATCTAAGGGATTTAGGGGATGCTTGTCTAATGAGTGATAAGGATTCTTTTGTTGTTGTTATTAATCTTTTTGAGACAGGATCTTGCTATGTAGTTCAAGCTGGCCTTGAACTCACTGCAGTCTTCCTGCCTCAGTGTCCTAAGTACTGAGATTGCAGGTATGTGCCACCACATCCAGCTTCAAGTCTTCATTTTACTTAAACATGAGGCAAAATAAAGCCGCTTAAAATGTCTGGGGAGAGAGATTTCAGGTATTTTCTGTTAGACATCAGAAAAAGGTTATAAGTGCTCCTTCAGATATTTCCGCAAAAAAAGGCAGCTTTTCCCTATGCCATTGAATGTCCACAGAACCCTCTAAAGGTACCCAATTTTTCTACCAAATAGTCTGAAAGGGCTACTTCATTCTACTTCCTCCCAACTTGGGACTGTCTCTGCGTAAATGTTCTCCACTTGATGTAAGAGCCCAGGATGCTGATTACAAGTGATCGGTCTACTTCCTTTTCCTCACTCAATTTCTTTTTACCGTCTCTCACAGGAAACGTACCTTATGAAACACATGCGCAAACACAACCCTCCTGATCTACAGCAACAAGTGCAAGCGGCAGCGGCGGCGGCAGCAGTGGCCCAGGCCCAAGCCCAAGCCCAAGCTCAAGCCCAGGCTCAGGCTCAGGCCCAGGCCCAGGCCCAGGCTCAAGCCCAAGCCCAAGCCCAAGCCCAGGTCTCCCAGGCATCGCAGCAGCAACAGCAGCCACAGCCACCCCACTTCCAGTCCCCTGGGGCAGCCCCCCAGGGTGGGGGCAGTGGGGAGAGCAACCCCAATCCCCCACCCCAGTGCTCCTTTGACCTAACACCTTATAAGACAGCAGAGCACCATAAGGACATCTGCCTCACTGTCACCACCAGCACCATCCAGGTGGAACACCTGGCCAGCTCTTAGAGATCCATGCTGCCACTCACTGGGAGGAGGAGAAGGAAGTTTTGGTCCCTTCTTTTTCCAATCTCTTGGCGGCCAAAGTCTTTTTCTTCCTGGACAAGCCTTGGCTCCAACTCCTTGGGCCTTGGGCACAGCTCTCCTTCACAGCAGACCATCTTTCATTTTCAACTCCTCTTCAAAAGGAACATCAGCCTTCTGATTGGCAAAGGAATACCGAGCTGATGTTATCCAGCGGCCCCCTCTTGAGCAGAGCTTTTAAAAATTGGGGGTTGGTGCTCACAGGAAGGATTTGCTGTGACCTCACAGAAACTTGCCTGGTATGGGCACTTAACCTCTCCGTTCCCTCCTCATCCTGAGTTTGAGGTGATACAAGACTAGAAGCTGGCTTCCCCAGATAACAGAAGGGAGCCCTCCATGCAACCCACCTCCTGTCCTGTGCTTGCCTTCAAAAGAACAGCGATTTCTCTGTGCCCCAGCCTGACAGGCATTCTCTTCTCTACATGGTCTCACTCTACTTCCTACCATTGGTAGGAGGAGATTGAGGTGGGGATCAGACCTCCTTTTATTTATAAAGGGGCAAGGGCTGAGATGTGGTCTCCAAGGGGCCAGAGATTTCCCAGATGGTCAAGGGTGGCTTGGAAATGTGGCTTGGAGCCTCTCCCCCCTTATCTGCCCACAAGTATCTGCACTCCTCTTCCTGTCCCAGCCCCCAAGGAGCAGTGGAGGCTCTGTGTTCTCCGTGAGACCTCAGGATGAGGGTGTTTCGGAGAAGGGAGAATTCAGGGCAAACACGAGGACTGGATATAGCTCCCAAGGTGCCACGGTCAGATGCCGGACACGGATTTATATATAAATATATATATATATATAAATATATATATATACCCGCTCATCACGGCCATCTTTGTTGTAACCATTTCTGTGTTTATAAATGCATTATCTCTGAGAATTTTTATATTTGATGTCTTATTTTATTTTATTTTATTTTATTTTTTTAAATTCACCCTGTCCTGACCACAGCATTTTTTATTTCCTTTTGCCTTTTTTTTTTAATCATAGAAGATTTCAGAGAAAACATAAAAGAATCAGAAAACCAGTTGTTATACAGCAATTTAAAAATGAAAAAAAAATTATGTACAAACCAAGGGGTGTTTTTAGAACATTGTATAGAAATAAATTCATGTAAAAGGATCAGAGACAGTGGAGCTATTGATGTGAATGAACATGGTAGAAAATATCTGGGCATATTCAGGGGCCTGAGGTCCTACACAATGTGTGAGGAATGAGTGCGGGTGTGCTGCAGCCCCACGTGTGATTCCACAGCCAGGGAAGGGCACAGTTTCGTTCTCACAGATGCACATTGATCTCTGAGGACTTCTGTTACAGATTCTGTCATGAAGACTGCACTGCCTAAATGAGAATACGGTCTCAGTAAAGTACTGATAAAGCAGCTGTGCTCCCAGCCGAAACAGCAGCAAAAGAAGAAAATAAACGGCCCCTGGAAAGGGCATCCTGCCTCTGCCTTCCAGTTACTCGGTATTTCAGTTGGCAATGTGTACACATATGTTTAGTAGACATGGGCACATGAAACCAGTGCTACATTTCCACATTGCCAGTAGTGGAAATCAGTCAGTGGGCTTAGGTTGAGGAACATTATGAAACACTGAAGCTGGGCAGTATGGCTCATGCCTATAATTCCAGTACTCAGAAGGCTGAGGCAGTAAGATGCTCAAGAGTTAAAAGGCTAGCCTGAATTACATAAGGGCTTTTTTTTTAAAGCCAAAAATCTCATGCCAAGTATAATATAGTGATAACCACATTCCCTTCCCACACACAGGGCAGTTCTGTGAAGGACTACTGTAGTGTATGTGGCACTGAAGCAAGCATGGAGAAATAGAATGTCATCAGAAAACCTAGACTTGCTACCTTGACTGCCATCGACCACTATTGGCCATGTTGCTGCTTCAGCTGTTAAATGAGGGGCTAACATGTTCACATCAGTGGTTCAGAGCCACCCAGCGGCAAGACAGGAATTAATGGACCTATCATGAATGTGTTAAACTACTAAGATTACTAAGATTGCTTTTTAAAACTTGCAAACTTCAGCACTAAAAAAGCTGTGACCAGGCTCATGCATGTGAACTGCTTGGGATTGGGAGCTGACAACATTCAACACCTAGCAGGGTTTGGGGACTTGGCAGAGATGGTGTGTCAGTAGGCAATGTGACACTAATGAATGAATCACGTGACCAGATAAGGTAATGTTTGCTTCTTCACTAGATTTGAGCCACAATTTCAAATTCATTGCATAGAAAAGGAAATTATATCATCCAAGAGTATGGCACTTGTGATAGAAATGAGGTCTGCATGAGTGAAGAAAAATGCAAGGAGGTTTAAATTTGCAGGCCTAGTAACTCCTCCAAATTTAAGGATTTGATGATAATACATAAAACTACATGAGTGAAGAAGGTTTAAATTTGCAGGCCTAGTAACTCCTCCAAATCCTTAAATTAGCTGCCCTAGAGAAAGTCGTCGCTTCAGCCAGGCCTTGCTTTACCAGATTCATAATCTGCCAAAGGAAGTTGGACTCCCCAGTTGCTGAAAAGGGATATTTATGGAATACACTTATAAAAAAGAATCGTGTTTCCCCCCATTACCACATCTTTTAAGAGGGAAAAAAAAGTTTGCTAGAAAATGCAAAATGGCGACTGCCATGACGTCATACCTGCCTCGGCGAGGACTGGAGTCTTAGTAGGGGCGGAAGCGGGCTATAGCAGCCTCGCCGTGAGCAGTCGTGAATACACAGGCCAAAGGAAAAGTTCGACGTCTGGCGGATATGTCCGGCTGGATCCTTACTAAGGGCGGAAGTGTTCTCATTAAGGGCGGAAAGGATCTGAGCTAAGAATAGCTACAGCTCCTGCCCTGTTCCAGTCACTTCCGGGGCGGATCGGAAGTTGCTTTGTTTTGCTTCAAGATGGCTGCTGGGATGTATTTGGAACATTATCTGGACAGTAAGAGCAAGCTGGAGAAGGGGGTCAGAGGTCAGAAGTGGTGGGCGACCGGGGCCGAGAGGATCTACGGCCTCGAAGTCGTAGTGGCGAGAAGGTCCCAATTATGAAAGGGATCTGCGGGAGAAAATATTGAGGGGTGGGAAGAAAGAAGGGGCGGGGCAGAAGGGCCGAGTCCTCACTGCTGGGTGTGGAGCAAGGAGGAGGTATGCGGTGGGGTTTAGGGGTGTTTCTTGAAGGACCAGGCATGGCAAGGAAATCTGTGCTACATCTGTACTCCAGTGTCTCTCACCTCAGGGTAAACTCCCTCGCCTCCAAATCTCCCACAGTCGGTAGCAGTCAGTGCCATTTGGAGCAGCTGCGAAGAGGTGCTCAAAGTGTCTCGCAGCCAGTTGTTTCTCAAGTGGCTTCTCATGAGGGTGGGAGTGAAGGTGAGGGTGAGGGACTATTGTCAGATGATCAACTGAAAGGATCTAATTCTCGCCAAAATCTGGGGTTATGTTTATGCCATTTGTGTAAGTACCGCTTCACAAAGCCTGTCACTCTGTGCAATTAAGGTTGTCTTATTGGAGAGTCGTTATTTAACATATTTATTGAGGAAATGCTATAGATCAGATGTATGGCAGATACTGGCAGTGTAATAACAAAAAGTAATGGGCCAGTGTTGTAGCCCGGTAGTAGTATCTGTCTGGCATGGTAATGCTCAGTGTTCAGTCCCCAACAATGCAAAGATTGAGATGGACACACACACAGCATCTGCTTTCAAGAAGCTCATGTAAAGGGAAACAGATCCTGCAGACTAAATAATTATTAAACAGTAAAACTAGGCATCATGGTGTACACCTAAAGTCCCATCACTTGGGAGGCTGAGGCAGGAGAATCATGAGTTTGTGGCCAGCCTAAAGTACAAAGTGAGACCTTGTCTCCTAAATAAATGAATACGGCTAGGATGAAGCTCCCTGATAGAGCACTTCCCCAGCATGCACAAAGCCATGGATTATAATACTTAGTAGTACTGAAAGAAAAAACAAAAAGGCAAAGAGAATACTTTGATAGCCTGTAAGTACTTGGCAGAGTCTGGGAAGATCAGGTTTGTGTTTTTAGTCCTTGGGATCAAATCCAGGTCTTCACACTGAGCCTTTTAAAATTTTTCATTTTGAAACGGCCTAAGTCACTAAATTGCCCAGGCTAGATTTGAATTTGTGATCCTTCAGCCTCAGCCTTCCAGAGTGCTAGAAAGACAGGGGCAGATCACTATACTTGGTTTGAGCTAAACTTTGCTGGGGATCAAACTCAGGACCTTGTACTTGTGAGGCAGGCGCTTATGCCGCTGAGCTAAATCCCCAGCCTTTGAGCTGAACTTTGAATAATGAACATGAATTGAGCACGCCAGGGTGTATTGTGGGGGTGGGTAAGGAAGACTAAGCAGGTCCCAGACACTCAGAAAGCCAGTGTGCTCGCAGAGACACGCAGAAAGTCTAACCTGGCTGGTGTGGGGGGTGAGGGCCAGACGTGCAGAGCCTCCTACCTGTACTGACAAGCATGGGAAGATTGTGAGCCAGAGTGTTGGCTTTTTTTTTTTTAGACAGAGTTTGTGATATTGCTTGGTGTGCCTTCAAACTCTCCATCCTCTTTTCCTAGCTTCCGAGTGGAGTAGCTGGGATTACACGTGTTGGTCATTGCTCTCTGTTACTCTCCCTGCTCCCCCAGTGCTGGGGATTGATCCAAGGGTCTTCACACTCAGCTACATCCCCAGCCCTTTCTTTTATGTTTTATTTTGAGACAGAATCTTTCTAAGTTACTCAAACTGAGTTTAAGTTTGGGATCCTCCTGCCTCAGCCTCCCAAAATACTGGGATTGTACCCAACAGTTTACATTTTTAAAAACAATGTTCAGGCTACTGTTACGGAGAGTAGATTGGAAGTATGTAGAAAAAGGCACCAGGATGGTGTCAGATTTTGGCTTTCTTTTTTTTTTTTTTTTTTTAACACAGTGTCTCACTCAGTTTGGGCTGGTCTTTAACTCACTGGGTAGTCCAAGTTGGCCTTGCACTCACAGCAATCTTTGTGTCTCAGCCTCCCGAGTGCTGGGATTACAGCAGTGCACCACCATGCCTGACATTAGGGTCTGGCTATGTAGTTCGGGCTGACCTTGAACTCATTAAGTGGTCTAGGCAGGTTTTGAACTCGTGACAGTCCTGCCTCAGCCTTCCAGAATACTCAGATTAAAGGTATGATTGAAGCTAAAAGAAGGGGCAAGACTAAGTTATGGAAGAGGAAATGGTGGATGCTGCTGCAGAGGTGAGTCGTCAGAGGAGAAGCAGACACAGCCTCTTGAGAGAAAGGTGTGATTGCTGTCACAAATCTAGAGGTTTGAGTGAGGGCAAATGGTTTATAAGAAACCATAGAGGCCACGTATAGTAGAGGACACCTATAAACCAGTACTTGGGAAGCTGAGGCAATAGGACCTCCAGTTTGAGGCCAGGCTGGACAGCTTAGCAGCTTAGCAAAACCTTGTCTTAGAAAAGGGCTGGGGGGCCGGGGATTTAGCTCAGTGGCTCGAGTGCTTGCCTGGTAAGCACAAGGTTGTGAGTTTGATCCTTGGTACCAAAAAAGAAATGAAAAGGGCTGGGCATATAGCTCAGTGAAAAGGCCCTGGATTCAATCTCTAATACAGGAAAAAATAATATATTTGGGGATTGGAGTATAAGTTATATTGAACGCTTATCAAGTCAGCTTTCTGTCTTCCCTAGGTATTGAAAACCTCCCCTTTGAATTACAGAGAAACTTTCAACTCATGCGGGACCTGGACCAAAGAACAGAAGGTACGTACTGAGAAGGGGCTGTGTGTAAAAGGAGGACGTATAACCACTTACTCCTCTGTTTGCTAGTACTGTGTCGTCTGACATGAAGAACTGTGGCTTTTTAATTTTCCCTTTTTTCTTTTTTGGTACCAGGAATTCATCGCTAAACCTCATGCTTACCAGGCAGTCACTGTGCCACTGATCCGTATCCCTGACTTTTTTATTTTCTCACAATTCTTTCTCTCTCTCTCTCTCTCTGTCTCTTACAGTTCTTAAGAGAGAGTACTGACAGTCTTCATTTCTGTATCAGCCTTTCCATAACCAACAGAGTATTGAGATAGTAGTGCCTCAAGAATTCAAAAGACATGCCAGGCACAGTGTGTACATGCTTGAGATTCCAGTGGCTCAGGAGCCTGAGGCAGGAGAATCTCAAATTCAAGGTCAGCCTGGGCTGTGTAGTGAATTCAAGCCTAGCCTGGACTGCAGGGTGAGATCCTGACTCAAAAAGCCAAAAATAAATTATAAAAGGACTGGAGATATAGCTCAGTTGCTTAGTACACACAAAGTCCTGGATTCAATCCCAGCACTGCAAGCAAAAAAAAAAAAAAAAAAAAAAGATGCTATTATCTTTATGCTTTTCTCAAGAACAGTTTAAGCTGGCAAAGTAGAGTGTAGGCCTATAATCCCAGCACTTGGGAGGCTGAGGCAGGAAGACGGTGATGAATTCAAAGGCAACCTGGGCTATTTAGTGAGACCCTGCCTCGGATTTTTAAAAAATCATTTATTTGTTTGCAGTATTGAGGATTGAATGCAGAGTATATTGGATATATTGGATATATCTAAGATATATTGGATATATCTCACCCTGAGATATATCCTCAGCCAATACCCTGTCCTGTCTGGAGATAGGATCTCACTAAGTTCCCTATGCAGCACTCAAACTTGTGATTTTCTGTCTCGGCCTCCCATAGTGCTAGAATTAGAGATGTGTGCCACCACACGTAAGCTTTTATTTATTTGAGATTGAACCCAGGGAGCCCTGAGCTACATCCCACTCCTTCCTTTTCTTTCCTTTCTTTGGTACTGGGAATTGAACTCACTACTACACGCTTGCAAGGCAGGCACTTACACTACTGAGCTAAATCCCCGGCTTCCTTTTTATTTTTTACTTTTGAGACAGAGTCTCACAGAGTTACCTAGATTGCCTTGAACTTGTGATCCTTCTGTCTTAGTCTCCCGAGTAGCTGGGGTCACAGGTGTGTAACTATACCCTACTCAGTTCTACCTCTTGAATCCATGCACAAAGATCAGCTGGGAATGATGAATTGTGTGCTTTTCAGCTTCTTCCAGAGGCCCAGAAGGAAGTGTGTCATTAGTGTGCTTTAAGTGCTTCCTGTTAGTCATTGCTTCGCTTCTAGAATCAGATTTCCTTCTTGCCATTGACATTTTCATGGGCCCTAGCAGACATGAGGGAACAGACAACCTTTGGGTCCCAGGGCATCAGCAGCCTTCCAGTGTTAAACTGTTGGAAGCAGTGTTTAAGGTGAACACCATAAGAAATGATGGCAGGGCTGGGGATTTAGCTCAGCGATATAAGGGCCTGCCTTGGAGGCAGGCAGTCGTGAGTTCGATCCCTGGTACCAATAAAAAGGAAAAAGACAAAAAAAAAAAAAAGAAAGAAATGATGGCAAATAGCTGGGTGTTGTGGCACACGCTTGTGATCCCAGCACCCGGGAGGCTGAGGCAGAAGGATCATTGCAAGTTCAAGACCATCCTAGGCTACCAGGTGATCTTAAGGCCAACCTGAACTGCGTAGGTGAGACCCTGTCTCAAAAAAACAAAAAAGACAATAATTAATTAATTAATTAATTAATTAATGGGAAGTAGAAGCAAGTCACAGACGAAGGGGCAGGCAGTATGGAGTGGGTCTCAGCTAAAATCCTAAGTCAGAGCAGCAGATGATTCGTCCTGGCTCCCAGCAGGCAGACCTGCTGTGGGAAGTTTTTGAGACAAGAAACGAGATGGCCTTTGAAACAAAACACATTTGGCAAGAAGCCTCTGAGTCCTACATAGAAGCATCTTCAGACATCCACCAAAATATGCTTCCTCTTACTGTGCTGTGCAGAGTTCAGCAGTGTGTGGCAGTAATTAAGTTCCAACTGTCCTAGCAATGTTTTTAGTAATCTGAAGGCATCTTAAAACACTTAGGGTCAGTGTGCTGCCTTTCTTGAGTACACAGCTTGGTGCCTGGCACATTTGATATGTTTTAGTCCGAGGGTTATGGTGGTCCTTGGAGAGGGCCGAGGAATGGGAGGAAGAAGCCTGCTTTGTCTGGCCATCTGGGACGATCATGACCAGGCCTCTGTCTCTGTCTTAGACCTGAAGGCTGAAATTGACAAGCTGGCCACCGAGTATATGAGCAGCGCACGCAGCCTGAGCTCCGAGGAGAAGCTGGCCCTGCTCAGACAGATCCAGGAGGCCTATGGCAAGTGCAAGGAATTTGGTGATGACAAGGTTCAGCTTGCCATGCAGACCTATGAGATGGTATGGCCCTGTCCATGGCACCCCACTACCTCCCGTCTCATCCCCCGGGCCTCCGACCCCTCCTTTAGCCATGCTGGGATCCATGGTGGGTCTGGGCAACCATAGACCCTGCCTCCACCTGCTCTGCTGCCTCAGAACTGCCCTTCACCTCTGCCTTCTCTTTCCCTGCCCCCAGGTGGACAAGCATATCCGACGACTGGACACAGACCTGGCCCGCTTTGAGGCAGACCTGAAGGAGAAGCAGATCGAGTCGAGTGACTACGACAGTTCTTCTAGCAAAGGCAAAAAGAGTGAGGAGGGGGGCGGGCCATGAGCGGGCGAGGAAGCAACGGAGAAGGTGCGGCTCCAGCCCATGGGAGGAGACCTGGCAGGGAGGAGGGGGAGGAGGCCTTAACCCATCTTCCTGTCTTCTGCCTTCTGGCTCCCGCCCTCTCCCCTAGAAGGCAGGACGCAGAAGGAGAAGAAAGCTGCACGTGCTCGCTCCAAAGGCAAAAATTCAGATGAGGAAGCCCCCAAAGCTGCCCAGAAGAAGTTGAAACTCGTGCGCACGTGAGTGTAACTGCTGCCACCTCCCTTCTTCTCACCCTACGCTGCTTGCACGGTCCCCACCCTCCTGTCTTCTGTGCTGGTCACTTGTCCTTCCATTTGGTGTCTGCTGGGGAGAGGAGGAGCCACAGTCACTCCCCTCCAGGCTCTCCTAGCCGCCTTGAATGCTCATCAAGTAGCTTCCAGCCACAGCCACGGGTGACATTTCCTTTCCCTCTCGGCATGCAGAAGTCCTGAGTATGGGATGCCCTCAGTGACCTTTGGTAGCGTCCACCCCTCAGATGTGCTGGATATGCCTGTGGATCCCAACGAGCCCACCTATTGCCTTTGTCACCAGGTCTCCTACGGAGAGATGATTGGCTGTGACAACCCTGATGTGAGAACCCTTTTGCCTCAGGGTGAGGGGTTTGGAGAGGCACAAGAGTGGGTATAAAGTGGGGTGACCATGGTTGAAGAGTGGGATTTAAGAAATAGTCGAAAGCAACATGTAGGGCATGTGCCTCTAATACTGTACTTGGGAAACTGAGGCAGGAAGCTATCTTGCACCCAGGTGACCTTCAGTTTGGGGCCAGCTGGACAGTATAGTGAGAGCCCATCTTAAGAAAATAGGGGCTGGGAATTTAGCTCAGCGGCATAAGCGTCTGCCTTGCAAGTGTGCAGTCGTGAGTTCAATCCCTGGTACCGATAAAAATGAAAAAGACAAAAAGAAAAAGAAAAAGAAAATAGGTTAGTGGCTGGAGCTGGGCGGCCTTGAATCTCTTGAGAAGTCTCCAAAGAGAGTAACTAAAGGGGGCACTGAAGGAGTCTGCTCCGCTTCCTTTCCTCCCGGTGTCTACCCAGGGCCCTGACCAGTGGGTCCTCGTCTCCTTCCTTTTCCAGTGTTCCATCGAGTGGTTCCACTTTGCCTGTGTGGGGCTGACGACCAAGCCCCGGGGGAAATGGTGAGTGACCAGTCAGTGGGAGCTAGGCGGTGCTACAGCGAGCAGCAGAGGGCGCCGTCCACTCCACTCACTGCCTCCCATCCTTGTCTTCTAGGTTCTGTCCACGCTGCTCCCAAGAGCGGAAAAAGAAGTAGATGAGGGCCTTGGGTTTCCACACAGTTTCTTCACATCTCCTGACCTGGGCTGGTGGGCAGAGAAGTGTGCTGGTCCAGGGGGACGGGGAGAAGCGGGTGGTACAGTGCTGTCACCCCCTCACCTGGCTGCTCACTCCCCACCCCAGCGCCGAGGCTGTGTCCAAACCCTACAGGGAGGGTGCCATGGCCACTGATGGTATGTGCCCTCGTTCTGGCTGTCCCTTTCGCAGGGACACGATCTTGCCCGCTGTCCTTGTGCCTCCATGCTGAGGTTGGTGCTGTATTTCAGAGGGAAGGTCCTCCCCCTTGCTTTGAATTTAAGGTTGGGGGCAGTAACACTGGACGCTCCCCTGCCCTAAACTTCCTCCCCCAAGGGGGACTAAATGTGTGATAAACTTCCCCACTCACTTCCTGATTCCCACGGGCAGGGGTCCCCTAGATCATCTGGGCTGTGGCCCTAGTTGAAGGGACCCTTGAGGGGATGTGTCCTGGCCTTGTGAGTGGGAGAAGGGGACGAAATGAAATGCAGATGACTCCCATGTAAAAGGAGTTTGGTAGGTAAATAAAAGCTATCCGTGTTGGCCTGCTGTATTTATTGTAGACTGTTGTGTAATGTGCTCAGCTTCTCTGTGCGTCCCATGGGCCGACTGGGGGAGAATGGCACCCTGGAAGCAGAGCAGACGGGGCAGCAGTGGTGCCTGGACCGCATCCACAGGGGCAGCCGGAGCAGGCAGAGCTGGCCAGGCTTATGGCCTTGGTCACCCCTACATTTTCTTCCACATGGCATCTCTCAGTTTCCAGTCAGTGATATGTCTGTGTTACCTATGTGTACCACACACTAAATACCGCTTAATTGCACATTTGAAACAGGAAATGAATACGGTATCCTGCCCATACTTCCATGGATTGCCCTGCTCGTCTGTCTTAATCACGTCTGGGGACACTGAACACTTGCTCTTCTAACTCTGCCTTCGGTGGTTCTTAGTTCAAAAAAGATAACTAGTCTATCCAACCACAAGTGCATTTAAAGTGAAGGTTTAAAAGTTGTAAATAGGCTGGGGATTTAGCTCAGCGGCATAAGCGCCTGCCTTGCAAGCAGGCAGTCGAGAGTTCGATCCCCGGTACTGATAAAAAGGAAAAAGACCAAAAAAAAAAAAAAAAGTTGTAAATGAGGGGAGGGAAAGGGAATGGGGGAAAAAAGCTAGATTCATCTTGTCCAGGTACAAACTCCCTGTGATGAATATGACCGTTATATTTATCTAAAATGTACCAATAAAATCAAAAGTAATAAAATGGGGGCTGGGGATTTAGCTCAGTGGCGTAAGAGCCTGCTTGGTAAGGTAATACAAGGTCATGAGTTTGATCCCTGGTCCCCCCCCAAAATATAGTAAAATGCTTATAGGTTTATACAACCCAGTGTGACTCCCACAGTTCCTAGGTGGCTGGGGTCCATAGCTGGGTCCAGGAGGTGGGGTGAGGGTGACAGCAGAAGGGGACCAAGCAGGTGAGGAGGATTTGACTGGTTGAACCAATTTCTGCTTTTCTAAGTTAAGTTTCTATTTTTCTGAATAGTATCAGCCAGTGAAAGTTAAGTTCTGCTTTCCCTTTAGAAGTGATGTAGTCCGTCTGCCTGGAAAAGGGGGCCTGTATTCTCAGTTTCCCTTGAAGCCTCTTTCTCAGTTGAAAAGTTTGTAGCTTCTGCCATTTTTTTTTCACCGCGCAATGTGTGCGTGTGTGTGTTTTTATAGGGTCTTGCTGTGTAGTTCAGGCTGGCATCAAACTCTGGGAGATACACCTGCCTCAGCTTCTCGAGTACTGGGATTACAGGCTTATGCCCCGCTTTGTGCCTTGCACCTCCAGCTGCCCCAGAACGGGTCTCCTGTGCTCCCATCTGGGTCTCCTTCATCCGCAGGGCTCACTGGTGAAACAGGTCCGCCTGCCAAGATCACCCACCGCTGGTCTCTGGTGCCCAGGGCGTGCCCCGTGCCCCGCCCCTCCCCCTCTGTGACGTGGGCGGTGCCTGTGCACGGTGCACAGCCCGAGGTTCAGTTCGCTAGGCCCGTTAGAGGCTCTGATCTCCCCGGGTCATGGGGCAGCCGGCTGCTGGCTCCATTCTGACACTGCTGAGGGGTAAGAGGCTTTCCCCTCGCTCCCTGAGCTCCGCACCCCTCCAGTCCTTGAAACCGTCCCCAAAATGACTTCTCAGACGCTTTCTCAGGGTGATCGTGAGGGGTCTGCCCCTCACTCCTGAGACCCTTTGAGACGGATGTCCCCCCGGACCTGGCCTCCATCCCCAGCAGCCCCTCAACCTCCTAAGTGGGCATTGTCCTCCTGGGCGCCCCCACCCTGCCACTAACTTAGGCAGTCTTCCGCTGGGGGGTGCATCCCTCCCATCTGTCTGAATGCCGGCTGAATTGCCCTCGCAGTGCTGCTCCTGCCTCTGGGACCTGCTCTCGCGCAGGACTCTCCCTCGGCTCCTACTCCAGGCAGTCCCCTCTCCCCCACCGAATATGAGCGCTTCTTCGCCCTGCTCACCCCCACCTGGAAGGCAGAGACCACCTGCCGCCTCCGCGCTACCCACGGCTGCAGGAACCCCACCATCGTTCAGCTGGACCAGTATGAGAACCACGGCCTGGTGCCCGACGGTGAGCGCCTGTTTGCCGGAAGCCCCGAGCTCCCCGTGGGGCAGAAGCCTCGCTGTGCTCCCCGCATCCAGCCTGCGCTCACCCTGCCTGCCCTTCCCCAGGCGCTGTCTGCTCCGACCTCCCTTATGCCTCCTGGTTCGAGTCCTTCTGCCAGTTCTCTCAGTACCGCTGCTCCAACCACGTCTACTACGCCAAGGTGAAGCCTGCTTGAAAAGAGCTGGATCTGGGGACCCTGGGCCAAGGAAGGAAGGGCGACTGGAGAACGAGAAGGGGTGTGGCAGCCAACCCATAGACACGCCTTCCTGCCTTTCTGCCTGTCACCCTACCTGCTGACCCTGTTGTAGGTGGACACTGCCCAGTTCAGCCTTTGTAGGTGTTACTAGTCATAGACTCCAGGCCTTTGTAAAGCAAGCAGAGGGATGAGGAAAGAGAGAGGTGGCCCTTTCATTTCTTCTAAAGATGCAGAGACTTTATTTAAGTCAAATGCTCTACAGTAAAGCCCCAGGAGTATGACCCCCCAAAAAAACAGAACACCTTTTTTGGTAGTGAGTGGATATCAGGAATCCAACTCAGGACCTCATGCTTGCCAGACAGGTGCTATGCCACTGACTTATATCCCTGGCCCAAACAGACTGTCTTCTAAAGGCCCCTGATCAGGACAAGAGGGTCCTAGTGGGGACCATGTTCCTTCATCTCTACCCTGAAGTGTGGGAGGGCACAGGCTGGCAAGGGATTAAGGAATCACTGAGCAGGAGCAGCCTGCCCTTTGCAAAAGCCATCCTGCTCTCCCTGCAGAGGGTCAGGTGCTCCCAGCCGGTCTCCATCCTGTCAGTCAACAGTTTCAAGGAGCTGGAGTCTCCAGTGGAGGTGTCCCCCACCACAATGACCTCACCCGTCACATCCCACATCAAAGGTGAGCCCCTGGGAGAGCCTGGTGGGAGAGAGTAGGGATGGGGAGATCTGCTTAGGAACACAGATTAGGGCTCTCTCCTCCCTTTCTTTTTTATTTTTCCAGACAGGCTTTCACTAAATCATGAAGTTGCCCAATCTGAGCTTGAACTTGGTGTCTTCCTGCCTCTATTTCCCATGCTAAGATTATAGATGTGCACTGCCATGCCCAGCTTCTATTATTTTCATGTTTTGAAGGATTAAGATGCAAGGGAAAGGGTGTAGTTTAGTAGCAGAGCATGTGTTTTGGATGCACCAGGCCCTGGGTTCAACTCCCAGCATCAGACCCCCCCCATAGGGAGGACTACTTGCTGGCTGTTTATACTACTTGATGGTCTCCAAGGCAGTGGGCACAGGGGTAGCATCTGAGATGTGAGTTAAAGAGCTCTTCCAGGTATGCTGGTGTATGCTTGTAATCTTAGCACTCGGGAGGCTAAGGCAATATTTCAGACAGCCCACAACCTCCTAAACAAGTGGACAGCAAATGGCTTAAATAAAAGACACAACTGGTATCATTTTAAAGGGCTCCAGAAGGATCAAAATCCTCTAACAGAATTTGAGATTTCCTGGGGGTTGTATTTATTGGTTTGCAAACAAAGGAAGGGGAGACTGAGCAGGACCTTGGGAATCAGTTTAAAGACTTTTGTAAGTAGTTAGTTTTGCTATTTAATAGACTGTCTTAGGGGGCATCTTAGCTACTGCATGGTACTAGCAAAAAAATAGACCCAAAGATCAATGGAATAGATTAGAAGATGCAGGAACAACAGCAGACACACTAAGTCACCTTATTTTTGATAAAGGTACCAAACTTTGGAAGAAAGATAGCCTCTTTAATAAATGGTGCTGGAAAAACTGGCTGTACACATGCTAAAGATTAAAACCGGACCCATATCTTTCACCATGCACTAAGCTAAAATCAGAATGGATCAAAGATCTTAATAAAATAGAAACATTATCCCGGTACTGATAAAAAAAAAATAGAAACATTAAATCTACTGGAAGATAGAGTACATAAAATTCTTGAAGACATTGGTATAGGCAAAGACTATGAACAAAAGCCCAGTTGTATTCTTTGTATCCCAAAGAATCAACAGCTGGGATCTCATCCTACTGAAAAGCTCTTGCACAGCAACGGAAACCACCAATGGCGTGAAGAGACAACCCACAATGTGGGAGAAAATGTTTGCCAACTAACCCTCAGACAAAGGACTGCTATCAAGAACATATAAAGAACTCAAAAATATCAGTCCTTCCAGATTTAAATGCCATCCAAAATGGGCATCTGAGATGAATATATACTTCTCAGAGGACAAAATACAAACAAATAAATACATGGAAAAATGTTCATTATCACTGACCATTTGAGAGATGCAAATTAAAACAACACTTAGATTCCACCTCACCTGAAAAAGTGGCTATTATTATTATTATCATCATTAGTGGTATTGGGGATTGAACTCATGACCTCATACTTGCCAGGCAGGTGCTCATGCCACTGAACTAAACCCCAGCTCCCAAAATTGATACTAAAAAATCAACAATAACAAATGCTGACAACCCTTCTCTGCTGTTGGTGGGAATGTAGAACGGTACAGCCACTGTGGAAATTAGTGTGGAGATTCCTCAAAAACTAGGACTACAGGTCGCATTCAACCCATCTATTCTGCTTCTGGGTATCTTCCCAAAAGAATTAAAAACACCGTAGCACAGCAATATATGTGCACCCATGTTTATAGCAGCACAATTTATAATAGCTAGATCTTGAAAGCAACCTAAAAGCCCATTGACTGAGGAAAGGATATAACAGACGTAGCTGGGCGTGGTGGCTCACGCCTGTAATCCCAGCACTTGGGAGGCTGAAGTGGGAGGATGGTTGGAAGTTCAAGACCAGCCTGGGCTACAAAGTGAGCTTGAGGCCAGCCTGAACTGCATAGCGAGACCCCGTCTCAAAAAAGACAAAAAAAAGAAATGTACATGGTATCAAAATGAAGGACCACTACTGTGGCAAATGCAGCAGTGGGACCCATTTCCACTTTCCTTGTAAGCACACTTTTTTTCCGGGAGACAGGGTTTTGCTACGTAGTTCAGGGGCTAGCCTGGAACTCACAGTCATCCTCCTGCCTTGATGGAGAGCACTACGAAGTAGTTCTGGGTAGGATTTAAAATTAGTCAGTTGGCTTTCTATGGTTGTGAGTCTGTCCCAGGCCTAGGCCTCTTACTTGCAGAATGGCAGCAAATTCATAGTAAGTGAATCTTTATTCACTGGTCCCAGCAGAGGCTCACAGTGGCCTGTGATGGTGTGACATCTTAAAGGGCCAGACAAGGCCATAGCTGAGGACGCCTGGCTCTGACTCCAATTTATTAGACAGAGAGTACAACTGCAGGCACCTCACTCCTGCTCTAACTGTGAACCTAGAGAAAAGACAATCTATTTTTTTTCAAATCTAGTTTATTTCAAAGAGGAAAAAAAGGGCTGGGGATTTAGCTCAGCGGCATAAGCGCCTGACTTGCAAGCAGGCAGTCATGAGTTTGATCCCTGGTACCCATAAAAAGGAAAAAGACCAAAAAAGAAAGAGGAAAAAAAAAAATTCAAAACACATCAATCAGGGTAACAGGGGTACATACATTGTGCATTGTCATCCCCAAATCACTTATCCAGAGCACAAGATATCTGCATTCAATTATCCAAACAATACCAGCACAAATCTCTCTCTTCAGAGAAATCAGTAGTATAACTATCTTTTTTATATACATATACAAATATTGTTTCTTTCAGCTTCTCACACTAGTGAGGCAATACAATGTTTACACGTGTGTCTTATTTCACTTATGAGTATGTTCGCAAGGTGCATCCATTTACCTACAAAAGTCTCTTATCCTTATTTATGGCTGAGTAGTACTCCATTGTATAAAAATACCACTTTTTTTTTTTTTTTGTCTTTTTTGAGACAGGGTCTCAGTATGCAGTTCGGACAGGCCTTGAGCTCACTTTGTAGCCCAGGCTGGTCTTGATCTCCCAATGATCCTCTCACCTCAGCCTCCTGAGTGCTGGGATTACAGGTGTGAGCCACCACACCCAGCTCTTTTTTCTTAAATATACTTATTCTCTCCTCTTTTTTGGTCCCCCAAACCGTGCAGCCACAGAGCGACAGTCGTTCCAGGCCTGGCCTGAGCGGCTCAGCAACAACGTGGAGGAGCTGCTGCAGTCCTCCTTGTCACTGGCTGGCCAGGAGCAAGCGGCTGGTCATAAGCAGGAGCAAGGACAGGAGCAGCACAAGCAGGATCCGACCCAGGAGCACAAGCAGGATGATGGGCAGGAGCAAGAAGAGCAGGAGGAAGAGCAAGAGGAGGAGGGGAAACAGGAAGAGGGCCAGAGTGTAGAGGACATGCTGGGCAGGGTGGGCAGGGCCGGCCTGCGGATAGGCTCCGAGCCCAAGCCACAGTCCCTGTCTCTGTCTTCCGACCCTCACTCCTTCACTGCCCGGGTCCGAGACGTGGACTCGGCTCCTATGATGATAGAGAATATCCAGGAGCTCATTCAGTCGGCCCAGGAAATGGAGGAAATGTACGAGGAGGATGCCTACTGGAGAAGCCAGAACCACGGCAGGTACTGGAGGTGGCGGCTTCCTTGTGACCTTGTCTTCCTGATGCCTCTTTTGGAACTGAGAAGCCCACATTCCCAGCTTTAGCCTCCAGACCCACTCAGATCCACCTAAGCTTCAGGCTCAGCTGGCCACGCTGGCCTGTTTTGTCCTGTGCTCACTTGACCTCAGCTCTTACACTGACACCTTGGTTCTGTACTCTTACAGGATATGGTATGGTGAGCCCTTGAACCTGGTGCCACCAGGCTTGAACTCAGGTCTTGTTTCTAGCCCTGATTAATGGTGCAGCCTTTGAGAGAATATTTCTCCTTTCTGGGTCTCAGTTCCTCATCAGTTTTTTTTTTTTTCTTTGTTTAATTTTTGAGACAGGGTCTCACTATGTAGTTTAGGCTGGCCTTGAATTCACTCTGAAGCCCAGGCTGACCTCAAACTCATGGTGATCCTCCTGCCTCAGCCTCCCAAGTGCTGGGATTACAGGCATATGCCTCCATACCCAGCTCCTCAATTTGTCATTTGCAAGAGAAGGAAGTTAGTCCAGGGCTTCTCAGGGTCATGATAAGCATGCTGAATGTATATGACCAAGCTGCTCAGGGGACCGGGAGAGTGGACATGACTTTTTGCCTCAGCCTCCAGCCTATCCTCACCAGCACTGTCTTCTTGTAGCCTCCTGCAGCTGCCTCATAAGGAGGCCTTGCTGGTGCTGTGCTATTCCATTGTGATGAACAGCTGTGTCATGACCCCCTCGGCCAAGGCCTGGAAGTACCTGGAGGAGGAGACCTTTGGTTTTGGGAAGTCGGTAAGCTTGCAGCCTTTCAGTGAGCATGGCTCTGGGCATCCTAGCCCCAGCCCTAGAGAGGTCCAGGTGGAGAGAGTCTATCTGAATGGGGCTTCTTTCTCTGGAAGGACCTCTCCAGAACATTCAAGGAGGAAGCCTGTACACCTCACTTTGATTCCAGTCCAGTATGGGCCTTAGCCCTCAGTCTCTCTGCAGTACTTAGCTGTGTCTCAGATATCGCTCTCCCCTTGAGAAGGCTCATGGAACCCGTTCTAGGCAGTCTGTAGAGATTGTAGTCTCAGTGTGTCTTCTATCCCCTGGAAAATACACTGCAGGGTTTCTTCTGCTTGTGGTTTTGAGATGGGTCTTGCTGTGTTGCCAAGGCTCCTGATTCTGGAACTCCTGGGCTCACGTGATCCTCTTGCATCAGCCTGCTGTGTAGCTGCGACTACAGGTGTGCATCACCATGCCTGGCCCCTAGTTTTTCAAGTAATACAAACTATCAAATATTTATTGAGAGCTGGGACACCGACCTTCATCCATTTGTTCACAAATCCTCGGGGCACCCACTACCTCCTAAGTTCCTGAGATGCTAACGGTGTTGCACAAGGTAGACTCGGTGCTCTGTCAGGATTTGTTGGGGGGAGGAGGAGGACAGTATGGTGTGAGGAGATGAGTGCTGCGATGTGCATGGACAGGTACGCATGTGAGAGGAAGACTGTGGCTGTGCTTGGGAGGATCGCAGAAGGCTCCACAGAGGCAGGAAACCCTGAAGATAAGGGGGAACCCGGAAGGAGAAGGGACTGGTGGGGGATTCCTGGTAGTGCAAAGGCCGAGGCAAAATTTCTCAAAGGTGTTGGGGATTTAGCTCAGGGCATTTAAAAAAAAAATTCTTGAAGGTCTCAAGTGAACATACTTTTTCTGCCCTTAAGGGACAGAAGGGGTTCATACTGGAAAATATTACAGGAGTGTTGTGGGAGTTGGGGTTTTTTTTTTAAAGACAAATAAAAAGAGCCAGGAATAGAGGTACATACCTGTAGTTTCAGCATTCCCAGAGGCTGAGGCAGGAGAATCACAAATTTAAGCCTAGCCTGGAAGATTTATACTGTCTCAAAATTTTTTTTAAAAGAGAGGGGCCGGGAATTTAGCTCAGCGGCATAAATTCCTGACTGGCAAGCATGAGGTCCTGAGTTTGAGCCCCAGTACCAAAAAAAAAGTAGGGGGGGACTAGGAAAGTAGTGTAGTATGAGGGACCTAGGTTCAATCTCCAGTACTGCAAATCATGAACTAGATAAAGATATAAACATGTAAGAAGAGCTGGGCATGGGAGTATACACCTCTAATCCCAGCTAGTTAGAAGGCTGAGGCAGGAGAATTCTGTGTTTGAGGCCAGTTTAGGCAATGTAGAAGACTCTGTTTCAAAATAAAATTTAAAAATCGGGGGGGGGGGTTTAACTCAGTGAAAGAGCACTTGCCTAGCATCACAAGGCCCTGGGTTCAGTCCCCAGCACAAATAAGTAAAATTAAAAATAAAATGAAAGTGGGGGCTGGGGATTTAGCTCAGCAGCATAAGCGCCTGCCTTGCAAGCAGGCAGTCGTGAGTTCGATCCCTGGTACTGATAAAAACGAAAAAGACAAAAAAGAAAATGAAAAAAATAAAATAAAAGTGGTCCCGGACTATGCCCTCTAAGTGGTTTGCATGGGAGAACAGTGGAGTTCATTGTACCTGGAGCAGAGCATTTGTGTTTCGCTTGGTAAACCAGGGGAATTTGGCAGAGATTTTGAGTCAGGGATGTGCCAGTGCCTCCTTTGTGTGCTTCTGTGAAGAGTAAGTAGGTTTCCAGGCGAGGAAGCTCACTCCTGTAGGAATCCCAGCACTTGGAGGCTGAAGCAGGAGGAGACAAAGGAAGACAGTGTCTCAAAACATTAAAAAAAGGAGCTGGGAATTTAGCTCAGCAGCATAAGCACCTGCCTTGCAAGCAGGTGGTTGTGAGTTCAATCCCTGGTACCGATAAACAAAACAAAACAAAAACATTAAAAAAGAACTCAGTGGGGTGAGAGATTTCATGCATGGTTACAGACTGAGCCCACAGGTAAGAAGGGACTGGCTGAGGGTGCTGCTTAGTCACAGTGCTGAGGAACCTCAAGCAGAGTCCAGCTAGGAGATGGGTAACCCCTCTCCCACTCTTCAGGAGATCTTCTGAGAACCTGGAGGGGTTTGGTTTTGTTTTGTGAGACAGAGTCTCACTGTGTAGTTCAGGCTGGCCTTGAACTTGTGGTGATCCTCCTGCCTAGTCTCCTGAGTTCTGGGATTATAGGCATACCCACCAGTGAATTTGGAAGTTGTTAACCAGGTCCTTGGCAGAACATACACTTTAGATTCTGAGAGACCTGGATCCATGTCCCACGTTCACTTTTTTTTTTTTTTTTTTTTTTTTGTCTTTTTCCTTTTTATCGGTACCAGGGATCGAACTCACGACTGCCTGCTTTACAAGGCAGGCGCTTATGCCGCTGAGCTAAATCCCCAGCCTCAAGTTCACATATTTTTTAACCAGTACCGAGGATCGAATCCAGGGCCTCATTCATAGGAGACAAGCATTCTACCCCTAAGCTAAATTCCTAGCCCTTTTAAAATTTTTATTTTGATACAGATCTTGCTAAGTTGCCCAAATTGCTCTCAATTTGGCAACTCCTGCCTCACACTTAGCTACACCTACTAGGCATGTTGCTTTGAACAATGTACTGAACCCCACCAAGTCTGTTTCCTCATAGTATTGACTGGGATATTATTGGTATTTCCACTATGACAGGATTATTGTGTGTGTGTGTGTGTGTGTGTGTGTGTGTGTGAGAGAGAGAGAGAGAGAGAGAGAGAGAGAGAGAGAGAGAGAGAGGGTTCTGAAGACTAGATGAGATGAGAGTGGGTGACCATAGTGCCAGCAGCTCATCACCTACATAAACAGCATTTGCACTAGCAGAGAAGGGAAGGGAAGAGCACTATCAGTCCTCTCAGGGGCTGTTAGAGGCAACCACAGAGCACCCAAAGGTAGGTGTCTGTCAGGACTTTACCAGTGGAGCTAGGAGGAATAGATAACCAGGAAGAGGGTGAAGAAGGCGCTGAGGCCAGGGCTCCGGGGCACCTTGGAGAGGCAGGCAGGAGGCAGCAAGGCCTGAGGAGAGCCCAGCAGAGACACCCTGAGGGCTCTGGAAGGCTGAGGCCCCAGAGAGAACAGGTCAGAGTCCCGGCCTCAGCCTCATTCGTACACCTACCCTAGGTCTGTGACAACCTTGGACGGCGACACATGGCACTCTGTCCCCTCTGTGCCTTCTGCTCTCTGAAGCTGGAGCAGTGCCACTCAGAGGCCAACCTGCAGCGGCAGCAGTGCGACGCATCCCACAAGACACCTTTCATCAGCTCCTTGCTCACAGCCCAGACCATGTCCATGGGCACCCAGGTACATGTGGGGGTGTCCTGTGGTAGGGGCTAGCAGGGGTACATGGAGAGGGCTGAGAGGCCACAAGGGCAGGACACACACCTTTCCTGTCCTGTACCCCAGGCGGGGACCTCGGAATCTGGCCGCTTTTACGGGTTAGATGTATACGGTGGGCTCCGCATGGATTTCTGGTGTGCCCGGCTGGCCACAAAGGGCTGTGAAGACATCCGGGTCTCCAGCTGGCTCCAGACGGAGTTCCTCAGCTTCCATAACGGGGATTTCCCCACCAAGGTGAGACCTTTTCTTTTTTTCTTTCTTTTTTTTTTTTTTTTTTTTGTCTTTTTTGAGATGGGGTCTTGCTGTGCAGTTCAGGCTGGCCTTGAGCTCACTTTGTAGCCCAGGCTGGTCTCGAACTTGCAAGGATCCTCCCACCTCAGCCTCCTGAGTGATGGGATTACAGGCATGAGCCACCACGCCCAGCCAAGGTGAAACCTTTTCTAACCTCAGGTGTGGATGGAGGCTCCCCCACCAGCCTCCTGCCTCTTTCCCGGCAGGCGCTGATCACTCCATCCCGAGCAACAGGCAGGGATTTGTCAAAGCAGCAAGAACAGGCCTGGGGGAGGAAGCTGGGGAGTGGGAGGAGGGAGACAGATGCAGTACTGACTGGCCTAGCTCCAGGCCCTTTCTTCTGGGTCAGTTATTCACATCCCTACAATAAGAGTTACACTCATCTCGGTGATCACCTGAGTAATTCCAGGTACTTGGGAGGCTGAGAAGTCTGATTGCAAGCTCAAGACCAGCCTGGGCAACATAAGCGAGAGCTTGTATCAAAATAAAATGTAAAAGCCAGGTATGATGGCACACAACTGTAATCCCAGCACTTGGAAATTATATAGTGCAGCCCAAAAACACCAAAACAAAACAACTAACAAAATAAGTAAAAAGTATACAAAAGGGCTTGGGGGTGTAGCAACGTACATTTAACATATTAGTGGTCCTGAGTTTGAGCCTCAGCTCCAAAAAACATATACAAGCTGAACATGATGGTACATGTCTGTAATCTCAGCATTCCAGGGGGCTTAGTCAGGAGGATCATAAATTTAAGTTCAACCTAGACTAATTAAGGAGTTAGTGGTATCTTGTAAGTAAGTAAATAAATAGAGAAGGACAGAGGATGTAGCTCAGTGGGTGGAAAGTCCTGGGTTCATTCCCTAGTATTAAACACACACACAAACACACACACACACACACACACACACACACACACACACACAGAGGGCTGGTAGCTGAGCTGAGGGACGATACCCATACCCAGATCTTGACCCTGGAACCCCAGATCTAGAGAGAGCCTTGGAGATCATCTCTATTACTCTGGATTTATAGGTGACTGTTGAAGCCCAGAGAGGCAAGTGATTCACACTCTAACACACAGCAGAGACTCTCTTCCTCTCTCTCCCTGAAAGAACCCCTGATGGCTGGACTACTGATACTTGGGTGATGCTTGTTTTTCTTGAGGTGCTAGGAATTAAACCCAGGGCCTCACACATGCTAGGCAAGCATTCAACCCCTGAGGTACACCCCAGCCCCTGTACTGACCCTTAGGCACCCCCTCTCTGTTTCCATGTAAACTGACCAGTAGGTGGCTGCTTCAATTCTCCCAGACTGACTTCTTCTGGGACCTGTGCCAGAAGTGGGAGGAGACAGCCCTACTCTGCAGAGCGGAAGTGTTCTCCAGGGTCCTATCTTGCCTCGGGTTCTGTGTCACAAGTAACTTTTGGGAGCAGATGTTCTGCTTAGCTTCTGCTGACCGCTTCTCCCCACCCCTGGCTTAGGTTTGTGACACGGACTACATCCAGTACCCAAACTACTGTTCCTTCAAAAGTCAACAGTGCCTGATGAAAAACCGGAACCGGAAGGTGAATCCCTCACTCTGTTCCCAGCTTCTGCCACCTCCCCCTTGGTCACTCCAAGTACTTTGCTTGCATCTTAGGGCAATACCCTCCATAGAGGCAGCTTCTGCTGCTGCAGTCCTGGGGTTAGCGGGCTTCTTAGGCAGTAGGGCCAGGGGAAGTTGGCACTCACAGGAGTAACGGCCCCAAGGGCACAGCAGGTAGAACCCTCAGCTGCACTGGGAATTGGAGGCTGAGTTTCAGTCTGGTCTCCTGTTCTTACTCACCAGGTGATAGGATAAATCACTTCCATTTAGGATAAATCACTTTCATTTTGAACCTCAGCCTTCTCATCTCCAGATGAAGGGGAGGTGGGCCAATTCCTGTCTTCTCTGAGCCTCCTCTTTCTACTGTTCTCTCCTGCTCCTGGGTCTGCTGACACCCCCTGCCCTCACTCTGTGGGTGTCTGGTTCGGGGACAGAGACCACAGCCTAGTCCCTTCCTAGGTGTCCCGTATGAGATGCATGCAGAATGAAACCTACAACGTGCTGACCCCTAGCAAAGGAGAGGACCTTGTGCTTCGATGGAGCCAGGAGTTTAGCACGTTGGCTCTAAGCCGCTTTGGATGAGATGGGTCCGTTCTGTTCCCACCCCAGCTGGACCTTTCCACATGCTTCAACCATCACTTCAAAACTTCGTCTGTCATTTGCTTCTGGGCTGCTCCCCTTGGATCTCTTATGTAGCTCGGATGCACATCTTCCCTGAGCTCTGGGCTGATGAGAGCTCACCTGGCTTCATGAATGTCTTTACATAAAGTTACTATTTTCTGCTTGTGTAGCCTGTTTTAGTTTGAGCTCCTTCCTTGGCACTGGCATTGTGCACCCTGGGAATCAGTCCTCAATCTCCCAGACATAGGATTGCTCCACAGATGAGAGAACTGTGTAGCGATGGTACTTGAAGAAACAGCCCTCTGCCAGGAGAAGCAGAAGACCCAGCAGTCAGAGAGGCAGACTGAGGAAGGACATGGCTGTGGGCTGGGGATCCCAAGGAGCATTGCTGAAGCGTTGGGCCCCATGATCTCAGGTGAGTGTAGAGTAAAGGCCAGAGCATGATTTGTTCAGAGGGACCAACCCCTAGGAGTAGGGAGTGGCTGGTACTTCGTCAGGAGGGAGTGTTCCGGGAGGTGCAGCCTAGAGCTCAGGAACCCTATGACTCTATGCACAGGAACTTGTAGGTAATCTGCATGATTACCTACTGCATCCTGACAGCACACACTGAGATACACAGCTCTACAACTGGCCTTGAACAGTTGGCAACTTCCCAAAATACTTTCTGGGGGAAACTTTGGTCTCTTCGATAAACCCAACAGTAATTAATAGCATCCTCCTATAAAAATTTATTGTAGAAAAGTTTAAACATGCACACAGGTGGGTGCGGTGGTACACACTTAAAAGCCCAACCTTTGAAGACACTGAGGCAGGAGGATGGCAAATTCATATGCAGCCAGGCAGGACTAGGGGGAATATAGCTCAGCAGTACAGTACTCGCGTGGAAAGCATGAGGTCTTGAGTTTGATTCCCAGTACAACAAAACAAAACACAAGGGCAGCCTGGCAACTCTATGAGATCCTGTCTCAAAGTTAAAAAAAAATTGTGTTTTGTCTTTTTGAGGCAGGGTTTCACTATGTAGTTCAGTCTGGCCTTAGAGCCCAGGCTGGCCTCATACTCATGATGATCCTCCTGCCTCAGCCTGCAGAGTGCTGGAATTACAAGCATATGGAACCACACCTGGCTTCATAGTAAAATAAAAATTTTTTAAAGGTTAAGGACATAGCTCTCTGTGAAAGGCTTGGACTTAGTCTCAGGTACCCATGCCCATAAACTCATGCACAACAACAGTTGTATGGGTATAGCTCAGTGGTAGAATGTGTGCTTAAGGAGTGAGCGGTCCTGGTTCAAACCCCAGAACTGCACAAGCAAACAAGCACCCAAAAGCACCGTGAACTCTCGTGGGCCTGCACACAGCTGCATGATCAATGCAGGTTAATCTATGAAGGTCTGTGATAGCTGTTTAACCTGGTGTTTCCCAATCTCAGCTTGCCACGGTACTTTTTATTCTTACCATTCAGACAGTTTCACTTTTTGCTTATTGAGCATGACGTTTGTCAAGGGACTGTGCTCAGCTCCTCAGCTGCAGAGTCTGGCAACAAGGGGCTGTCCTCTGAGCCCCTCTCCTCCTGGAGCTCCCAGGCAGGTCAGTAAAGAAGCTGGTGCTGCTGTGATGAGTGGGGCAAGCCCCTTGCAAAATGTTGGTGGCCTGGACTAAACCAGCTGGCAGACCCAAGAGGAAGAGTCTCTCGGAGGGGGAGGGCATGGAGAGAACAGCCTGAGGTGGTGGGTTAGTCATCAGGCATCATGGGGTGGGTGTTCCTAGTGAGTTCCCGGAAGCTGGGGCAACCCAGCTGGAGTGAGACAGCAGCTGGGGCTGGCTGGAAAGTCATTTGCTGCCAGCTGGCTTTCTCATGCCAGTCACTGGAGGCCACTGAGGTCAAGGTTCCCTCTTCTCTAGCTACCTGGCACCTTGGGGCTGGGTGAACTCAAGAAGCTGCAAGGGATGGGGCCAGGTGGGTGTGTCTCCCGCCTGGCCTAGAGCAGGTCCTGCCAGCCCAGCCCAGAGCAGGCAGCAGCAGTCAGCCGACCTGGGGCAGCGGCAGCGGCAGAGTGACGGAGGAAGAACAGGTATGGGGTGTGTGCCGGGTGGCGTGGGCCTGGCAAGGGGCACAGGGCAGCACCTGCTTGTGGAAATGGGGGCCGTAATGGGGACAGAGGTGAGGTGGCCCATGGGCTCTGAAAACCTTTCTGAAGAGAGAAAAGTGCCTCAAGTGGGAGACCTCAGAGGGAGCCTGACAGGCCACCAACCTGGAGGGCTCTTAAGAAGTAAAGCCACTGCTCGGGGGGTTCTCTGGCCCTCCCCTTTACCTGGGCACCCATTCTCACGCTGAGCCTTGAGCTTCCCAAGGAGGACCCCTGCTCTGCATCCAACCTCTGCCCAATCTGTTAAACCCTATCCCTCATGCCCACTTCCCTCTGGAGAAGGGGGGAGGCCCTTTTCTAGAAGACTGAGAAATACTGATTCAAGTTCACTAGGAGGTTCACTGTACAGGTGTGTTATTATCCTTTCCAGGTAGCCAAAGTGTTTTTATTCTTGCAATACGAAGGGCTGAACCAAGGACCTTCACACTGAACTACATCCCCAGCCCTTTTATTTTTTATTTTGAGATGGGTTTATTAAGTCAACAGGTTTCCCCAGCAGGGGCCAAACTTGGGATTCTCCTCTTTCAGCTCCCCACAGTGCCAGGATCGCAGGCATTCTCCACCCCTGCCTGCATCCAAGGTGTATATTGTCTTCCTATGTCTCTGTCTGTCTGTCTGTCTCTCTCTCTGTCTCTCTGCCTCTGTCTCTGTCTCTCTCTCTCTGTCTCTCTATCACTCTCTCTCTGCTCTTTGCAGTGTTGGGGGTTTGAACCCTGGGCCTGCAGCATGGTAGGCAGATGAGGCACATTCAGCCCTGAAGACACTCTTTAGTGGGGTCATCTATCATAAAGGAATGGGGTACATAACCTCTGATGTCCCAGCTTGTGAGCAGCTTGAGAGGCCGGACATTTCAGATATTGATCCCAGGTGCAGGCACCATGGAGAGGGCTTTCTGAGGCCTCTGTGTCACACCAGCAGGCTACTGCCTGCCTGCTGCCTGTATCTGTGGAGCCTCCATGATACGAAGGACTCTGGCAGATTGGGTCTCCAAGTGTCTCCTTTTAGGGTGAGCCCAAGTTGTAGCCACAAGAGGATTAAGGGAGACACCTATGTGTTTAAGCCTCCTCTCCCAGTCACCCAGACACAAGGGCTCAGCTCCTCACCCTTCACCCCCAGTGCAAACCCATTTTAAAAAGTGGAGGAGGAGACAGCAGAATGGGGATGACTGGGGCGGGGAACAGGGGTGGAGCATCTGACTAACATGTGTGGCCTTGGCTTCAGTCCCAAGTACTGCAAAAAAAAAAAAAAAAAAAAAAAAACAGTGAGGCTGAGTGCCCCTGCTGTATTGAGTTCAAAGCAAGGTCACAGAGGCCAAAAGTCTCCAGGGAGATTATCCAGAAGAGGCCAGGCTCTCCGGACTGAAAGCAAAGGTAGGGTACTTGGGGGGCGGGGAGGGGCCTGACAGTTACTTCTCTTGGTTGGGACCTCATTTCCTGTTTTTCTGGCTCTTGAAAGCAGGGTGGAGGGAGATGTACAGGTGGCGAGGTGCCATCCACACATTGGGGAAACTACCAAGCTCCAGGCTGCCTTTGATTTCTGCTTTTTCCCGGGGAAAATATGGGGAGGGATGAGGTCCACGTGGCCAAGGAAGGGAGGAGATGCAGCTGAGGCTGGTGTTAGGAAGCCAGGAAGAGACAGGCTCCAGTGCTGAACAGGCCTGTGGGGACTGGAGACACCACCCTTTAGAAGGACTGTGGCCCCTGGGTACCCAGAAGACCCTCCCTTTCACCCCTGGGGCAAGATGTCCTGGTGCCCTCAGATGGTCTCTATACCACAAATTTTCCATCTCATCCTGCACCTCAGACCCAGGGTAACCTGCTGAGCAGGATTCACTTGTGGCTCCAAGCAGCTTTGAGACAGCTTTTCAAGAAACAAAGTGGTTGGGTTAGATGAGGGCTTTCCTGGAGGTCAATGCAGTGGGGACCCATTTGGGGAGCCTGAGCACGTGCGCCTGAGTAGGCCTTTCCAGTTCATACTGTGTGAGGGGCCGCATCCTCCCCACAATGCGTGAACACAGACACAGCGGGAAGTGGGCTCAGCTAATTTAAGTAGTGGGTTACAGCACTTGCCAAAGGGGTACAGTACTTCCTGTATCAGGCATGACACACAGATGGGCCAGGAGAACCTAAATGCGGTTGGAGCCAATCTTTACAGGCAAGGAAGTGGGGAGATGTGAGAGTCCTTTCAAGCTTCTTACTCTAGGAAAAAGGCAAAATGATGTGAACTATTAAAAAGGCGAGGCAAAGAAAGATCACTTTGTGCAGCAGTTGCGAAACTATGACATGTGTGCCACAGCAGGCTGTCTGTATCACTGAAAGCTCTGAAGGATTGCTATCACTGATTTAGCACGTGTGGAGGGAGTGAGAAAGAAGTATTTCTGTGTGCCTTCCTGTTTCCATCTTTGTTGTGAATCACCTAGTCCTTTGTCTTCGGCTCCCTCCAGATTGCTGGCCAGAGGAGGTGGCATCAGAGTAAGGTTGTGGGGACAGTGAGGGAACAATCATGATCTTGCCTCCTGCCCACTTTGACTCCCTGGTTCTACTTCCTGTCTGGGGCAGAAAATAGCCCTGCCCCTCTGGTTTATCTCAGCCAAGCACAGCATGCAGCCCAGCTGAGAGGGCAGTGGGACAGGTAGGTCCTAGGGGCCCTGAGGAGGTAAGGTGTGGGCTCTGAAGTGACTCAGGAAGCCAAAGGACAGAGACAGAGGAGCAGGCAGGGGGCTGTGTGCTTCTAGCATGGGAGCCGGGTAGGGTAGGCGATGTGGGGTGCACAGTCCCTCCCTGGTGCCACTGTGGCGATGGAGATGGTGCCGCCTTTGCCTCAGTGTCTTGGGGTGGAGAACTATGTGAGTCTGCCTGGGGGGCAGACACTTGGGAGCCACTTAGTTCATGTGTCTGGGTAAAAGGCAGGGCTGCTCTGGCCAGGCTGTCTATGACATGCTTGCAAAGCACACAGGAACACTGGGCTTGCATGTTACCATCTCTTAGCATGTGTGTGCCGCTTTGTGTCTGTGCACATAAGTGTGCAACAGGGTGGTCACATGCCCACATCCATGTGCTCCCCAAGTCAGAGACTGCTCGCCTCCACCTCCCTCTGCTCCCTGGTGACCCCAGCAACCCTTCTTTGTGAGGCAGCTGCTCTTTTCTTTGATTCCTGAGTCTCCCTCCAACCTGACCGCTCTCTAAGGCAGGAGTAGGGGGCTGGGCCACCCCTCCCCCACAGCGACACCCCCTCCTGTCATTTCCTGTTTGCCTCCTCCATGGCAGTTTTTCCCATCTTTCCATCTGGCCTGGCAACGTGCCCATGCAGCTCCACAGATGGGAGCCCCAGGGCTCAGGGAAGAGGGGGAACCGGCTGGGGACCAGGGCAGGGGCTGGCAGTTCTCAGTGCTCAGCTCGGCCTTCTGTGCGACTCTGTCAGAAAGAGGTGGTTTTTGACCAATGAACCCCACTATAAAGACTCCCACAAACTTCTGGGGGTATTTTTGGAGGATGTAGGGCTACTGAGGAATGAACCCAGAGCATCCATCCACACTGAGCTGCATCTCCAGCCTTTCCTTTTTTTTTTTTTGACAGTCTTATTGAGTGGCTAAATTGTCTGTGCTGGGTTCAAACTTGTGATCTTTCTGCCTCACCTTCACAGAGGTCTGGGACTATAGGCATGCTCTTCTTCAGAAGAGGGTATGCAAGCCAGGTGTGGTGGTGCAGGCCTGTCATTCTAGTACTCGGGAGGCTGAGGCAGGAGGATCGCTGCAAGTTGGAGGCCAGTCTGAGCTACATAGTGAGTTCAAGACCAGCCTAAACTATACAACAAGCCCCCGATTAAAAAAAAAAAAAAAAAAAAAAAAAAGAATGAATAAGAGACTTGGAAGTGATGTGTCTATAGTACGTGTTTCCTAATTGTAAGGAGTCACACTTTCTTAATGGTTAAAAGTGAAAGAGTGTAACTGTAATTATAATACTTACTGAAATAATGTGAGTTGTCTCTAAACAGGCCTTTTAAGAGAAAGCTTCCCTGTCTCCAGTTTGATTTTCTGAGACAAGGTCTCACTACATAGACCACACTGGTCTTGAATTCACTATATAATCCAGACTGCCTCAGACTCAGGATTCTCCTGCTTAAGCCTTCTGAGTGCTGGGATTACAGCCATATACCACAATGTTTGGCAAAATGTAGTTTTTTTCCTGAGTTATACTTGTCAACTAAAATAAACAGAGTATGATCTTCAGTGGTTAGGTGACTAGCTTGATAAAAGAGATATTAAAGGTGATCTAACACATTTAATGCAGAGTAGATTTTTGTTTATTTTTTGCTTTTTTCAGATAGGGTCTTTATATGTGGTTCAGGTTGGCCTTTAACTCACTATGCACCCCAGACTGGCCTTGAACTCATAGTGAGCCTCCTGCCTCAGCCTCCCCAGATGCTGGGATCCAAGGTGTATGCCACCATGCCTGGATCCAGGGATTTCTTGACAGGGGCCAATAAGTATCGCTCCAGGCCTTCTAGATACAGAAACTTAAGTATGTATCTACAGGGTATAGTCCTCCCACACTAAAACAGCCAAGGGGGCTCAAAGCCCTTTCTTTGAAATGGGGTCTTGGTATGCTACCCAGACTGCCTGGAACTCCTGGAGTCAAGTGCTCCTCCTGTCTCAGCCTCCTTAGTAGCTGGGACTGCAGGCATGTGTCGCTCCGTTTAAATGCTTGAATACTCACGGGAAAATGTATGGAAGCATATTTGTGTGTGAGAAAGGTAAGTTGATACTACCTGGAAGTGGGAGAAAGAAGGAAGTGGGTACTAAAATCTATTTCAACTAGCCAAATGAGGAAGTAAACTAAGTTACATATCCATATCGGCATAGGTTTCACTTGAGCGACTGTAAAAGCCAGGGCACTCCAGCCAGCAGCCATCCATGTATCTACTGACCATTCTCTCCTGCTGCAGCCAGCATAGTATAGCTTGGACTTTGGAGCTGGGCGGTCCTGGGTTTGGATTCTGACCCTGCACCTCAGTGATAGTTCTTGGATTTTGTTTCCTATAAAATAGGACAAACATGACCTCACAGGACTCTTGGTGATGCACACCTGTAATCTCAGCACTCAGCAGGCTGAGGCAGGAGGATCACAAATTCAAGGCCAGCCTGGGCTGCATAGCAAGGCCGTCTCAAAAACAAAGGCTGGGGATTTAGCTCAGCGGCTCAAGCTTGCTTGCTTGCTAAGTGCAAAGTCATGATTTTGATTTTCTCTGGTACTAGAAAAAAAAAAGATTAATATTTATGCATTATAACAGACCCAGGGATCTGGTGAGCCATCAGCAAAGGATAACTATTGTTTTCCACTCCACATTATGGTTAGGGGCTGGGAACACAAAGATAAATAAGCTAGGTCCATGGCCCCTCCCCCCAGCAGTGCACAGTCTGATGGGAGAGGCTGATGATAAACAGCTAGCTGATTACAGGGTCACAGTTATCACAGACCTGTGTATCTCACACTCCAGAAAGTGCAAGGGAAGAGACTCTGCCTGCCTCACAAGGTGAAGGGTCAGAAAAAGAGTCCTCAGGGTCTTGAGAAAGGACTGGGTCAACCACCTGGAGACTGGGAATGAGCCCACAGCTGGCTGCAGAAAATGTGCACAGGCAGAGGCCTGAAAGCACAAGGTACATTGAAAACTCATATGAGGCCGGGCGTGGAGTCTGTAATTCCAGCACTTGGGAGGCTGAGGCAGGAGGATCATTGCAAGTTCGAGACTAGCCTGGGCTACAAAGTGAGCTCAAGGCCAGCCTGAAACTGCATAGTAAAAAAGAAAAAGAAAAAAAGAAAAGAAAAGAAAACTCATATGTATTAGCTGGCCCAAAAATTTTAAAACTTTAGCCAGGTGTGATGGCACATGCCTATAATCTCAACACTCAGGAGGATGAGGCAAGAGGATCACCACAAGTTCAAGGCTAGCCTGGGCTACATAGGGAGACCCTGTTTCAAAACACAAAAACACAGTGCCTGCCTGGCAAGCATGAGGTCATGAGTTCGAACCAGGTACCAATAAATAAATAAATAATTTAAAATTTTAATCTACAAAGGGCTGAAGATGGTGCTCAACTTGGAGTCTCTGTGTTCAATCCCTACTAATGCAAAAACAAAACAAAAGCAAAGACAAATATTGTGTGATTTCCACTGACATAAGTTATGTAGAACAGGCAATTCACAGAGACAGAAAGTGAAACAGAGTTACCAGGGACCAAGCATCCTGTGGGGTGGAGTACTGCTTAATGGGTAAAGAGCTATTGTTCAGGATGATGAAAAGGTTGTTTCTGAAAATCCCTAGATGAGGATTATGTAAAATTGAAATGTACTTAAGGATCAGGAGCAGGGCACTCACAAATTATTTTTTTTCGAGACTGGATCTCACTATGTAGTTCAAGCTAGCTTTGAAATGATTAGGTAGGTAGTCCAGGCTGACCTCAGACTCACAGTGATCCTCCTGCCTCAGCCTCCTGAGTGCTGGAATTATAAGGCATACACAAGAATGCCCAGTGATACTTTTTAAAAAATAGTTAAGAAAGTTATACTACTAATTTCTCTGAGTTCACTGAAGAGATAGATTTGTGCTGGCATTGTTTAGACAACTGGATGCAGACGTCTTGTGCTCTGGGTGCATGATTTGGGGATGGCAATGTGCAGTGTGTGTCCCATTGTTGCCCTGAGATTGATGTGTTTTGAAACTGGTTTTTTTTTTCTTTTCTATTTTATTTTATTTTGGTACTGGGGATCAAACTCACAACCTTGAGTTTGCCAGGTAGGCACTTATGCCATTGAGTTAAATCCCTAGCCCTTCTTTTCCCTTTTAAATAAAATAGATTTTGGGGGAAAAAGGTAAAAAAATAAATAAAAATGGTAATTTTGAGCTAGATGTCATGGCATACACTCATTTATTCCAGCCATCAGAAAGTTGAGGCAGGTTAGTCCCTAAATTCAATCTCTAGTACTAAAAAAAAAAAAAAGAGAGAAAGTTGAGGCAGGAGAATTGCCATAAGTTGAAGGCCAACCTGGACTACACAGTTAACGCTGTCTCAACAAACAAAAGAGTCAATTTTCAGTGATGTTCCCCGTCCCCCGTACATCAGATGTTATCTGAGATGCACAGATGGTGGAGTAGATTTTGGGCTGAGGCATGCTGACCCTCAGACCACATCCTCTGGCCATGTCCTGGGTTTGCCAGCTTGCCTGACAACTCCAGCAGCTGCCAGTTACTCTTTGGGGCAGCAGAAATACCACTTGCAAGCTTCACTTCTGCCCTCTTGAGGCCTATGATCCCCAGTGAGCCCTTGAACCCTAATACCAAGTCTCTCTGCCACAGAAACCTCTGTGACATTCTCCTGGTAGAGCCTATGGGGAAGCTCCTGGGAAGAGCCCAACACAGGGCCTCCCCTCCAGCCAGATGAAGGGTCAAGGCCCTTGACTACCTCTGCCCAGTAAGGATGGCCAAGTCCCCTCTGCACACACTAGTATGTTCTCCTTCCCATTCCACAGGCCAAGAAACTGAGGACAGGGCAGTTCACACTAGCAAGCTAAACCATGTTCTCCTGACCCCAAGGTCAGAAGGCCAAATGTGATAAGCGAGGTTGGGATTCTGTGGCAGACTTGAAAGCCTGAACTTTATTCCTTAGGTAGGAGGAAGCCACCTAGCACCTGGCCCTGTGGGGTGTTCCTCACCACCCCCGACTTGGTGGGCCTATTTACATTCACATCCATGGTTCCCTCCCAGGGGAACAAAAGCAGGCCGGGGCATGGTTTTTCTTTTGTTCACTGTCTTGAACTTGCCTGGAAAGATTTAAGCACTTTCTACTGGCTAGGGCAGGAGAATTACAGCAAGTTCAAGGCCAGCTAGCCAGACTTTGTCTCAAAAAGCAAACAAAAAGACTCAGTAAGCATGTGATGGAGGGAGAAAGAAGAATCGTAAGTATAGTCTCCGTCCCTCACCTTATTTCATCTGTAATTTGAGGAGGGGAAGACTTTTCAAACCTCTCTCTTCCTCCCGCTCCCAAGGTGAGGAAAATAGGGTTCAAAGAGGTTACCTTTTTTCTCTCTTAAAATTTTATTAATTTATTTACTTTGCAGTACTGTAATCTGAACACAGGGCCTTTATTTTGAGAGGTCTTGTTAAATTGCTCATTTAGAAGCTAATCCTTCTGCCTTCTGAGTAGCTGGAGTTGTGGCATGCACACCTGGCCATACACAAGGTATGACTGAAAAAATACGGTGAACGCTTAAATTACAAAAATAGTTATTACGGTTTAAAAAACCATTGCTATTGATCCACTGACCTCAGATACTCTTCCCTTTGATGCTTTGAATATACTTAGCCACTTGTTCTGGCCACCTTCTGAAGTAGTCTGGAAGTTCTTTTGTGTGGGTGTCTTTATTTGCACTGCCATGGTTACTTAATGTCCTGAACTGATATAAAATATTTACCTTTCACAGTGATTTTAACTGAGGAAGAACCGGAAGTTGTGTTGTGCTATACCGGGTAGACAAGGACACACTAATGTTTTTATGAGCCCGCCTTTCCACTGAATGGCACTCAGAAGCAGTATTCACCAGATATTTAATCACATCTCATAAACTCACAGAGGAGGACCCTTGTATGTCCCAAGTCATTCAAAACAAATTTTATTTTTATTTTCTTGCTAAGTTGGTCAGGCTGGCTGATCCTCCTGCCTCAGCCTTCCAGGGTGCTGGGTGGCTTACTTTTTCTGATGTCACATGACAAGGGAAGGTGGCAAAGCCAAGAGTTAAGTCTAGGCAGAGTGGGCTTGCTGTCGCCAGAACCCATGTATTTAACCCTGGATGAGCCAGTCCTGCTATAAGATGCTGCTGTTATGGCCTGATTAAGAGAGTAAAATGGCCCAGGGCTGAAAAGACCTTCGGGAGGCCTGTCGGTAAGTGAAGCTACAGAAACACACATCTGCTCCCTGCCCTGCGCAACTCTGACTTGGGCTTGTCTTCTAATTCCAGGTCTTCACTGTGGATGAAGCTGCATGGAGTGGCTTCCAAACCTTGGCAGCCATAGCCCACACTCCCATGCCCTGCGATTACTTGTTTTGGGACTGGCTCGGTACAGCCTCCGGCCCACCATCCCGGAGGTGAAAGCCATGCCCAGGCCTCAGAGTGCCCCCTAATGTCCTCGGCCTGGCTCCCACTGCCATCCAGCACCATGTTGTCTGCCAACAACTCTATGTCTGCCAATTTCTCAGCCAACCTGTCCTCGTGCCCCGACCACCGGGACTTCCATCACTTGCACATGGTGGTCTACAGCCTGGTGCTGGCGGCCGGGTTGCCCCTCAACGCGCTGGCCCTCTGGGTCTTCCTGCGCTTGCTGCGCGTCAAGTCGGTGGTGAGCATATACATGTGTAACCTGGCGGCCAGCGACCTGCTCTTCACCCTTTCGTTGCCCCTGCGCCTGTACTACTACGCGCATCACCACTGGCTCTTCCCAGATCTCCTGTGCCAGATGTCGGGTGCGATCTTCCAGATGAATATGTATGGCAGCTGTATCTTCCTGATGCTCATCAACGCGGACCGGTACGCCGCCATCGTGCACCCGCTGCGGCTGCGACACCTGCGGCAGCCCCGCGTGGCACGGCGCGTGTGCCTGGGCGTGTGGGCGCTCATCCTGGCGTGCGCCGTGCCCGCGGCCTACGTGCATCGGCCCTCACCCTGCAGCCACGAAGGTCGCGAGTGGCGCCTGTGCTTCGAGAGCTTCAGCGACGAGCTGTGGCGGGGCGGGCTGCTGCCGCTCGTGCTGCTTGCCGAGGCGCTGGGCTTCCTGCTGCCCCTGGTGGCCGTGCTGTATTCATCTTGCCGGGCCTTCTGCGTGCTCGCGCCGCCCGACGCCTCGCAGAACCGGCGGCGGCGCAAGACTGTGCGCCTCCTGCTGGCCAACCTGGTCATTTTCCTGCTGTGCTTCGTGCCCTACAACGCCACGCTGGCTGTGTACGGACTGCTTCGCAGCGACCTGGTGCGGGCTGGTCCTGGAGTCCGCGAGCAGGTGCGTAAGGTGCTGATGATCATGGTCCTGCTGGCCGGCGCCAACTGCGTGCTGGACCCGCTGGTCTACTACTTTAGCGCCGAGGGTTTCCGCAACACCTTGCGCGGTTTCCGTAACACCTTGCGCGGCCGGAACACCCCGCTCCGCGCTCACACCTCGACCTCTAACGGGAACGAGGATGCGTCCCAAGAGCGGCGCTGGGAAACCCCCCACTTCTCCAAGTTGGATGCCACCAGCCAGGGGCTACTGCAGACCTCCGACCTTGGCCCTCGGAATCAGGATTCGGCCCTCTGAACCATGCCAGTCAGAGTGCAGAACTGCATGGCTCTGCAGGACCTTGGGCGGGCTGCGGCGCCTGCATCCCAAAGAGGAAAAGCACTGCCTGTTGTGGCTTCCTCAGATCGGTGGTAGTGAGCAGCGGGCTTCTTCATTTCGTAGAAGGTAATGGGATGAGCCCGACGGCGGCTGGGAGTTGCACATGTGAAAGAAAACGGCTGTCCTGACTTTCCACTGCCACAGTCTGGATGCTGAAGAGCCCCAGGTCTTGGTGAATGAAGCTACTGAGAACTTGGTGCACCGCTCGCTTCTGTGGCATGAGGGCCAAGCCCGAGCCACTGCCCTCCCACCCTCCTGGGCTCGCCCTGCTTGGCATGGAGGCAGAGTACAAGGGTTTACTTAGTGTGTACAGAAATGGGCTCCTTCTTGCTAGTGACTTGTCACAGTTTAGGCTTGACACCCAGCTCCTAGCTCTTGGTTCTTCTTTCTAGGTTATTCCTTCTCCTTCCACCACTTGTAGGTCTCCTTCTTTTCCGGGTCTTGACATTATTCTCTCCCTCTGTCTCTGTCTGCCTCTGGAACATTCTCTGTACTACTAAAGCATTGGTTCTCAATCTTTTTTTGCTTTTACAGCTCTTTATGCTATAGAAACAGAGAATCCAAAAAAACTTTTGCTTATTCTTTGTTCCCTTGATATTAATGTTTTTAACACAGAAATATGTAAGTATACACCCCAGTAGCCATGAGAGCAGAAGCGTCCTCACATTTCAGGGAGACTCTAGAGAGAATGACTACTGACAACTTAGTAGTATTATGAAAACAACTTTGACCTCGTGTAGTTCATCAAAGAGCTGGCCTCTCAATTCCATTTTGATAATCACATTTGTACTGGAGTATTAAGAGTTCACATCTAATTTCTTCCCAGGGCATTATCTAACAATTTTTTAAATATCTGTGGGAGAAGACTATGCTGATGGTGGTCCTCAGGCATGGAGCTTGCTGGGGCAGCTGGGAGTCGGATACCAACAGGACACTACTCCTGGCTCCTAAAGCAGCAACCCAGGAAGCAAACCCCAAATGACTCAGGAGGAAGAGGTGGGGCGGCTCTGGCAAAGGAAAAGGAAGTATGCCACAAACAGGAGGGAAGAGTGTATGGGGGAGCAGAGTGCGATGGGAGGCTGGGAAGGGTCCTGAGGCCGGTGAAATGGCTTCCTGCCCACTTTACCCAAGGAGGGGGTGTGCTGGGTGCTGGTGGGGGACAGACATGGCGCTGTGACATCTTCAGATTCTGACATTCATGAGAGTTAGTTGCTGCTGTTTGTGTCCTGTATGCATTTCTGGATGATGGTTTTCAGTGTGTGAGTGAGTGAGTGAGTGAGTGAGTGTGTGTGTGTGTGTGTGTGTGTGTGTGTGTGTACGCGCCCATGCGTTTCCCAGGTCTGTCTCAGTATGGAGTAAGCCTTTTATGTGTGTACTTACCCCAGCGTTCCAGTTATTGATTTCCAGGGGTAAAATGACCTCTGCTGGCCAAACCAGGAACTGACCTAGATTTCTCAGGTTAGCCTTGCGGTCTGGGCGTCCTCCACCTGAGGTAGAGGTTAGAGCCCCAGCTGAGTCCTTTACCACTTGCTGCTGCTCCAAAGGAACCCTGCTGGTCAGTACCTGTCCCATCTCACTTCATCCTCAGAGTTCAAAACCTGTACCTTTCCAGACCTTAAAGTACGAACGGCACAAAATGCCACAGTCCAAAATTCAGAGCTTTGCCCTACCCAAACAGAACACAACTTTTAAATATTCCTTAACAGGGTCAGGCACAGTGGTGCACGCCTGTAATCCTAGTACTCTGAAAGGCTGAAAGAGACAAATTTGTGCAAATCTGAGCCCAGCCTGGGCCAGTTAGCAACTAGACAAGACCCCCATCTCAAAAAATAAAAATGACTGGGGGTGTAAATAGTGCAAAGACCCTAGTTCAACCCCCATGCTTAGGGAGTATAGCTCCGGTAGAAGGCAGTGGGCTCCTCATGCACCAGCTTCCAGGTTTAATCCCTTGCACCAGAAAACTCAATAAGCAAATACTTTTTTTTTTTAAAGAGTACTGTACTTTTATGTGTACGTATACAAGTGAATTGTAGGTAACTAAAAGTCACAGGCTGTATCACTTTCTAACAGTATATAATGAGCTTATTTATTTATTCTAATTTATATTTATCATGTCTCCCCTCCTCACCTCCCAAGGTAGAACATAAGCTCTGTGGGGGCAGCGGTTTTGAGGTTTTTGCTTGGTTTCTGAATGTAACCCCTAGTATTAGTTTTTTAATGTAACAGTGACAAAGTCTTCAATAAACATTTGTTGCCTGAATGAACAGTCAGATCTTGCTGCATCCTGTGGGGACCACAGAGCAGGAGGATAACAGTGACTACATCAGGACAGAAGATGCAGGAAGTAGGGGAAGGTGTGGAAAGCTACGGGGTTTTGCTCGCACAGACAAACTGTGAAGGATATGGGGCTGGGGATTTAGCTCAGCGGCATAAGCACCTGCCTTGCAAGCAGGCGGTCGTGAGTTCGATCCCCGGTACCGATAAAAATGAAAAAGACAAAAAACAAAACAAAAACAAAAAACTGTGAAGGATAAACTAGAGGAATACAGGGGATAATCTAAGGCACAGAAAGAATGGGCGAGAACAGATGGCCTGTGAGGAAGTGTGTGGCCTCTGGCTGTGACAATCTGGGGTTAAAGCTGCAGCACACTGCAACTGTGTTCTGATAGCCCAAAGGTTTGCGGCACAACAACAGGGATGCAGGAACAGACTAACGAGATGTGGCGGGCAACATGGAAATGAACAGAACTTGACCAGTAACATGCTGTGGAGGATTCAGAAAGCCTGCTCCTTACGCAGAATTTTCCAATCATTGAGTGAGCAGGAGGGAGAGGTAAGATGTGGGAAATTCAAGGCCCTCACCCAGCATCTGGACTAGGAAATCCAAAGGAGAAGAAAGAAAACTTTAGACTGAAAGGAAAGAACCAGAGCATTAAAAAAAGATTTTTTTTTTTTGTCTTTTTGAGACAGTGTCATTAAGCACTTTAAACTGTCTTTGAGCTCACTTTGTAGCCCAGGCTGGTCTCAAATTTGCAACCATCTTCCTGCCTCAGCCTCCCAAGTACTGGGATTACAGGTGTGCAGTGTACGGCTACCACACCCAGTCTAAAAGCATTAAAAATTTTAAGAAACATTCTTTAGGCCGGCACACACCTGTAGTTTCCACTCCTTACTCCAGAGGTTAAGGCAAAAGATTACTTAAGCCCAGGAGCTCAGTACTAGTCTGGACAATACAGAGGGACACTGTATCTCAGAAAAAAATCTTTTGTGTACCAGGATTTCAATTTGGTGCTTTAGATGCCTCATCTCATTTAATGGTCGCCTTCAAGTCAGGAATGATGATCCTCTCAATTGCACGGATGCCACACTCAGGGCAATCTCAAAGGAAGGTCACACAACCAGGAAGTGGCCCTGTCTCTGTTGGGCTCCCACACTTCACCCCGTGTGGTGCAGTACATCCTACTCCTCACCTGCCCATCCTTGCCTGTCACATCCATTCTCAGTGTCTTGGCTCCCCTTCCTTCCTCCTGTAAGCCATCCCTCTCAGCTGTCTCAGGTTGAACCTACAGTATCCGCTCTTTCTTCACACCCCCTGTCCACTCACTCCATGCTTGTCCTTCCCTTCACACTTGCCCTATGCTGGACACAGTGCAGCTGCTGGTAGCTGAGAAGTGACTCACCCACCCATAACGGGGTTCCCGTTATGTTGGGCTTAGACATCCTGCAGTTGACTTTCGACTCTCCTGCCCACCCTGGGATGTACCCAACATCTCGATGGCAGCACACTTCTTTTTCACTAACTCCACCAAGGAGCTGACTGTCCCTCAGATCTCAGTTCCTCTGTGGGATGGTGCCTCCTCCACGTCAGTGGAGTTGGTGGACAGTATCAATCGTTGGTCTTGAAATACCAACGAGTCAGAAGAACCAGTCAGAAGAACCAGGGCAAAGGTAAGTAAGGCTCCCACAGCACAGTAGAGATGCTGGGTTAGTTCTTGGCTCTGAACCATCTGGAAGGAAATCCCTATGAGGTCATCACCTGGTTCCTACAGAAGAAAGGAGGAAGGGAAGAGAAAGGGAAGGGAAATGTCACACCAAGCTTTCCATTCTCCCAGAGGCCCTGGAGACAGACAGCCTGGGATAATTCTGGCCATGCTATGCTTAACAGAGGATCCCTGAAAGAACCGGAAGGTGAAGTTTCTCACATGGGATTTGGGAAAAACTAAAGGCTTCTAGAACCTTGGAATCAAACAAACCTGGGTAGTGAGTGCAGCTGTCACTTCCTGGCAATGTGTCTTCAGTCTTTAAACCTCTCTGAGGCTCTGTTTTCTTCTCTGTGAAATGGGGTTCATAATATCTACTTATTGGGTACCAGCCGAGGTCAATGAGATGAAGTGCCATTGAAAGAAGGCACTTAGGAGCCCACGAGTGGGGGCTGTCTTTCCAACAAGAGAATGGGGCCCAGATGCTACTGGTGATGCCCCTGCGTCTGGGAGACAGCAAGGGCTCCAGGTGACTGTCACCAAGAGGAGCTCTGCCAGCCATCAGAACTGGGCCAGGGGAGCTGGTGAGGAGGCGGGCTGGGCACGTTTCCATGGTGCTGGGTCAAGCTGCAGTCTTCAGGGGCAGGGACTGGCCCGCTGCCCTCTGGGGGCACTCTCTCCCTGTGAGGCGCCCATCCCAGGGCCGCTGCGGAAGAAGTGGAGAAGCGCCAGATAGGGACAGGAGGGGAACATGGTGAAGAACCAAGCGATGGCGAGAGGGCCCCGGTGGAGGTTGGAGGGGAAGTGAGGGCCGGGCCGCCCAGGGTGGGGCCCGTAGAGGGGCCCAGAGCCGCAGGGCGGGAGAGCGCCCCGGGAGAGAACGGCCGACGGGGGAGGGAGGAGGGACGGGAGACCGGCGCGCTGACACAGCCTCGATGTGTGGAACTGGCTGGGGTTTGGCCCACAGGTCAGGCGTCTGGCAGTATTATGGGATGGAGAGGCCTTAGGAGACAGGAGAGTATTATGGGCTGGAACAGCCTTAGGAGACTGGGGAATATTATGGGCTGGTGAGGCCCGGCTCCAACTGGAGGCGGGAGGAAGGGGTGCGGGGCGGGAAGGGGGGTGGTGGTGGAAGGGATTATTATGGGCTGGAGGCCTCCTGCGACCAGAGGCAAGAGTATTATGGGCTGGCAAGGCCTTCGGTGGCCAGAGGGGGGAGCAGCGGGGGATGGCACCGGCTGCATGTGACTGGGGGGGTAAGTTGGGGGGGTAGTGAGTGGGGGTGGGGAGCTTATTATGGGATAGCTCTTTGTACCTACTGCGGGGACTGTTTCTCCAGAAGATATTATGGGATGTCTTGTGTGGGAGGGGGAGTGGGGCTGGGGGATTATTATGGGATGGTGGTGCAGAATGGGGAGGGCCTGCGTAGCTCTTCTCCAACCCCCACCCCTTCACACACTCCCATCACTCAGGGTCAGCCTCCTCCAATGACGCAAGGGGAGCACCTGAAACCCATCTTCCTACACACACATACACACACACACACACACACACACACACACGCACGCACGCACACTTTGGACACCTCAACCGGTCCTAGGCATCTCCCCTAACTTGCATCCACCTCCGGGGTATGGGGTACGTGGTGCAGAAGGGACAGCGTGCTCTGGGGAGTGGGAAGAAAGTCCCACAGCAAGGTTGGGGTGGTCAGTGCCTCCCACTTCTCATCTTCACTGCAGTCCTCTTTGGCTTCCTAACCCCTCAGGCCACCCTCCTCCCTTCTCTCCCACAAAGTGGGGGCCCTTGAGCCTGGCCCCCGCCCCCTCCCCTCCCCTCCATTTCCTCTCCAGCTCCCTCCACAGCCGTAACCAGTAAAACAGGCAGCTGACTATTATGGGATGGCTGCTCCCAGCACTCTGCAGGGAGGGGGCGGTCACCGCGGAATGTCTCCTGTGGGTGGTTATTATGGGATGGCCGCCTCTCTTTTGGGGAGGTGGGGGGCTATCGAGGAGGATTATTATGGGCTGTGTCTGCACAGCTGGGTGGGGCTATCCCGGGAAGGTGAAGCTCTGAGGAAGGGGGGGGGTGGAGAAGAAAAGGAAGGAAGAGGGAGGGAAGGAGGTGGGGAGGGTGGGGAGAACCCTGGAGCCAGACCTGAGGCCTGGCAGGAGTAACTGGCTGGAGAGGTTTCTTTGGTGACCGCTGTTTGAAGGGGCGCCTGAGGCAGGCTCCATCTAGGCAAATCCGAACCCTGGACACCTGGGTCCTTTTCACAGCCTGTGAAGTATAGGGTTACAGAGAGTAGGTTTGCAGTGCTGCACAGCAGGATTCCTGGGTCCTGGATGGTGGCGCATCAAAGAGATGGTACTCCTGGGTAGTACTCAAGGTCTCCCTCCATCTACCCCTTCCTGGGTTGAGCCTCAGAACCAGTTCACTTTGGGGGGGGGAGCATGGAACATGAAGGGTGCAGTCCCACCCAAGGGGAGAGGCTGGGTTGGCTCCTGGTGGACAGGTGTCACCCCAGGCCCCATATCCTGTCTGACCATCACAGTGCACTGTCACTGTCACTTTTACTTCCTCTGTTGTCTTCCCAAATCCCTTTTCCTGAGAGAGCAGAACATGGTGGACCTATGGAACTCTGACAGCGGAGTTCCTTGGGTTCACACAAAACGGAGCCAGCTTTCCATAAGGAAAGGAATTATTGAGCAGAGCATATGCTGAGAACTGTAGAGCAACCCCTCAGAGTGTTATTCTAAGTTTCTCTGTACCATGGGGTAGAAACACGACTCTAAGATAACTGGCTAGAGAGGTTGCCCCCTGGGTGCATTAATTAGGAGATTATGGCACCCTTAGTCTCCACAGGCCAATCATGCTGGTGGCTTATTTATAATTTATCTGGGAGGGTAACATGGGGCCAGAGTAGGGAGCAGCAGGCACAAGACTATAAAGACCACAAAAGTGACACACAAACACACATCCTAGCTCTCTCCGGAGCTCAAGAAGAGAGGAAGAGGTTTATCCTTCTCTTCGTGGAATCAGGAAGAGGTGGAGAGTCAGAGAAGCAAGGGAATTATTGGACAAAACCTGTAGGGGTAGAAGGGATGGAGAGGGATGTGGTGGACAAAGGATAGCAGAATTTTGAGTCACAGGCAAGGGGCTGTGACTACCTAAAAACCTGTTTACTGGTTTATATTGATTTATTACTATGGTAATGTACACATATAAAAGCAAAGATCTGAGGCAGATGGAGATATGACACAAGGGAATTTGAGACCTAGAGACACAC